TCTTGTGGCTTCACCCACATATTGACCACCGTTCTTCCAGCACATATGGCACTAACGATACAAATTCAAACAGTCTTTACCCAAGACACTTACAAAATTCTCCGTCTGTTGAAAAGGAAAAAAAAACACTTGCCAAAGATAAACACCACCACGAACTTTACTACAAATCCCTTTTGCGGGCGTGTAAGGAGCGGCGCTAGTGCGCCTCCCTCGCCGACAATCTAGAAGTTGGCAAGACTGAAAGTAAGACAAAGTAATGGAACTTGTCTTTTATTTTTATGTCTAAAAACAAAAACAAATCATTGTGGGCTGATGGTAATATAGGTTCCGTAGGTCGATAAGATTCCCACTGTTGATAAAGGTGCGTTCCTTTTTACCTACGCCCCACTATGCTTGTGTAACACAACGCGGCAGTTCTTCAAGGTTCTTGATTCTGTAAAAGAATTAAAAACTCATAATATAGAACAACAACGAAAATATCAAAAGTCAAAACGGCCATGGAGGCGACAGCGTCCAAGTAGTACAAGGATTACGGGTCGGAGTTCAATGTTCAATGGGCGAAGAAAAAGAAGACGAAAGAAAATCAAGAAACAAATAAATATACCGCAGTTCACCAGAGTCCATAACTGCGACGCGCAGGTTGGAAGATGGTGGGGGAACGCAGCGAGCTCTCTGCTAATCGCTTTCCACTTCGTTTGGGAGTATTGCCAATCAGGGCGAAGATGCGTACTGGAGATGCGCAAAGAACGAAAACTGGTCTTTTCGCAGTTATGGACTCTGGTGAACTGTGGTATAAATAACAATTCAAAAGTGTTCACTGCTACTGCCATCTGTAACGTGTAACCCATTACGATCGAAGGTCACGCGTAAAAGTGTTTGTTTCGTTCATAATTAAAGTACTTAACAAAGTTTATATATACATAGATATTTCATGCATATTAATGTATACGATGTATGTAATCTTGCCAATAGTAATATTGTGATGTAATTACGCTTTAATAGCAGTTGTATGTACATACGAAAGATCATTGTGAACAGATTTAACGTAATGACAAATCAGACTTTGTGGCGCCTGTGTGATAATGTAATGTATTTTAATCGGTGCTGAATGCTCCGATCTGTATTTACATTAGTGCTAAAGTGTAAAAGAAATAGATTATTTGTGACGCTGATCTCGCATGCAATTAACAAAGGTATAGATTTCTTTATTTTTAATTAACGTGTTGACCGATTCGAGCTTTAAATTGAACAGCATTTAATTCACTTGATACATATATACATAATATCGATTATGATTACGCCAGTGAGAATGCAAAAATTGTTTATGGCTGTAAATCTTAAACTAAAATTATGACTGCAGTAAAAAGTGCCCAACTTTTTAAATACATACTTCATCATGTTAATTATAGTCCTATGAAATATGTATAAGTTTTTCTAACATATTATTATACATTATATAAGTCTATATTATATGTTTCAGTTATAGATATAAACTGTTTATTTAAGTTGGGAAACTAAAACACATTCATACATTTATAATATCAGTTGTTTTAAGAAATATAATTTGCAATACATAAAATGTTTTCATGCGTGTCTCTGTTACATAATTAAGTTGCATTGAATTATCTGTAATTAAACATATTTTGTCTACAATATGTTCAAGGATTTTCCGTGTTCTGTCATAAGATAAAAGCAATAAGTGATAAGGCATGTAAATAAAATTTAATCTAGTGATTAATTGTGAATCTACATGTTGCATTGAGTTGTAATTGGATCAATGTCAGAATATTTCAAAAATAAATCCTTTCAACTTATACCAGTATATAAAATATTAATAAATTTTATTTATTTACAGAAAATTCTGCAAAGTGATGTACTAAAGAAACTTGCCATCTTCAAATTAGTTAAATAATTGTAAAGAAAAAGTGCAAATGTCTGTAGTAGTGGATACGATAAAAGAAGCATCTCTTTCAATGGAAATGAATTTACAGGACAAAGATGTCAGAGTAAGTAATAAAGTATACTTTATTGGACTATTATTGTATTAAATTAGAAATTTACAGTTAAATAAAATGAATTACTCGATGCATTAAATTGTATTTTCAATATATATTTTACAAATTTGAATTTCACTGTATATCTAATTTCAGTCAATGGAAAATCTGATATTCAGCTATATAATACACAACATTAAATTGTGTATTTCAGAAGAAAGAAGAAAAACATATTGGAACCGATGGAATTTCGAATACACAAAGGGTATGGACAAGCTTGGTATCAGGTGCCATTGCAGGAGCATTGGCAAAAACAACTATAGCACCTTTGGATCGCACAAAAATAAACTTTCAAATTTCGAACCAAAAATATTCGGCAAGAGCAGCGATTAATTTTTTGATAAAAACTCTTAAAACAGAGGGTTTACTGAGCCTATGGCGTGGAAATAGTGCAACTATGGTTAGAATTATTCCATATTCTGCTGTTCAGTTCACAGCTCATGAACAGTGGAAGAGAATTCTAGGAATAAATGGATCAGAAAGGTAACGCGCAACGTACTTCTCTTTTAAATTATTATTTATAATAATTTTTCTTCTGTTAATATTTATGAAAATGTTCGGCATATTATTTACTTAAAACAATATTTATAATAGTAGAATTACTTACTTTCAAACATATTCATGTTCAGAGGAAAACCTGGATTAAACTTTCTTGCTGGTTCATTGGCGGGTATAACATCTCAAGGTACAACTTACCCTCTGGATTTAATGAGAGCAAGGATGGCTGTAACACAGAAGGCTGAATATAGAACATTGCGACAGATTTTTGTACGTATTTACATGGAAGAGGGAATATTAGCCTATTACCGTGGATTTCCTGCAACATTACTCGGTGTCATTCCCTACGCTGGATGTAGCTTCTTCACCTACGACCTACTTAGGAATCTGTTGACTGGTGAGTCGATAATTTCACAAGCTAGTTTTACGCCGTGACGGTGCTTACACGCAAAGACAAAAAAAATCGTGATTTATACGAACAATAGTGGCTCGTGTATGATCGTAAAGCAGGGTAGCCGTGGGTCACATCGGGACTGTTTCCCGATATTGGGACAGTACTTACTTTAATAGCGACGCTTGTTGAGACAAGTCCTATGGCGGCATTTTTCAAGTACGTGCTTCATTGTTCGATGATGGCTACGTGTCGATGAATAGTGTACACGGTGGCTATTCCTGACTTCTCGACATCACTGATTTGCGGCGGCATTGCCGGAATGATTGCTCAGACTAGCAGCTATCCGTTGGACATCGTTCGGAGAAGAATGCAGACCTCGGCAATCAAGGGACAAGATTATCATACAATTAAGTCGACTGTAATGAAAATTTACAAGTAAGTTTCAAATATATGTAATAAAACTTACATATTTTTTATACTTAAATACGTCCTCTCTCTCTAAATATGTATATTGTATTTAATAATTTTCAGAGAAGAAGGTATAATGGCCTTCTATAAAGGATTGAGCATGAATTGGGTGAAAGGCCCAATCGCTGTAGGAATCAGTTTTGCTACGCACGATACGATTCGCGATGCATTAAGGAAATTTATTGTCCGTCAAAATAACTCACAAAATTAATATAAAGATATGTTATTAAGTACCATATGCAATTAGAAAAACTAAAAAGAAACTACTAATTATTCGTTAACATAGAACATCAATTATACATATACAAGAATACACTTTTATCTGCTGGAAAGTCCTTTGAACTACAAAAAATAATTAACAAAGTAGTAAATACAATGAATTTTCATTTATAATTTTCAAAGGGCGTGTTTCAAAGGGCAGGGAGAATATTAGTACAAATGATTCATGTATATATATATTGTTATTTAAAATGTTATAAAAAACTGTTAACCAACTGGAAAAAAATACATGTCATAGAAGTCTGAAGAAGTCAGCGAGACACAAGTATTCATTTTCAGTTTATTATTAATATATGTATATTGTATATCAAATTTGACACTATTGCCCTTGTAATTTTTCATTCTATAATTAATGATACAAAATATATGTTTATATTTCTAATTAATACAGAAACAATTTTAAGAAAATCCCTAAAAATTTAATATTTTCTTTTTCTAAGAAATACATACTATATAACAGAAATATTTTTAAATTATTATAAAGTAGGCAATAATTGTTTTGTATCATTAATTAATTAGTAATGTCAAATTCTGTATAATATGAAACCATCCTAATAAGAAAATTAATTTTGACAATAATGTGTCATAAATATAATGTGCAATATTATTAATGACTAGCACAATTATTTGTAAAGGAGTATAGTATTTCCAGTAAATATTTGTCACGTCTATTTTTTTTACATCACGCTCTGTAACGTATTATAACTTTATAATACTCGGACTTATTTTAATGTTGTACATATTTACAATATTAATCTTACTTCGTAAAATTTTATTTTGTTGTTTAATTAAATTCGATTGGTCAATTAATTCAAATATAAACTTTATGGACTTTCAAGTTCCCTACGAACAGATTTTTTAATGTGCATTAACTTTAAATAATATATTTAATTATTTGCTATTTTTGTAGAAATTATATCCAAATACATTTTAACAAACAAAATGTTATTATTAAACATTTAACAGATATATTTATAATTGATATATTAAATATTAATTAAATGTAATATTATTTCAAAATGAAATAAATAATAAAACTTGTTATGCAAATAAGTTTTTCTTTTAGTAATAATAATGATTGTGAAACATGAAATAAACAATAATGCATATCAATATTTATCTTATGAAATAAACTATCGAAATAGCTAATTATAATAACAAAAAAAATTACTTTATTTAGGACGTGCTTACTAAAAAATATTTTATTCATATTTGACTAGTCTAATAATAATAATTCTGAACAGTTCATTGATTCGTTTGCAGAATTTGTCATCAGTCAATTGTTTAAGATATAAAAATGTAAAATAGAACATTATCAGTATATATATATTACAAACTGGTTATCAGTGTTTGAAAAGGCTTCGGTATAATTAAAAAATTGTTAATCTATTTCTTTTGTACAAAATTGTTTATAACAGTGTGGTATTATTTTGGTTTAGTTTCTTGATCATTCACATATCGTATATAAATTTCCCTCTCATCATTTCCACCTGGCGGAATTTCAGCTTCATTTAAATATGATACTCCTATGGCAAGCACAGAACCATCATGGCTAAAACTAAGGGCAGCAACACCAGCATTATATCTATGAAATTGACACAAACGCTTTTTGTTAAAACCATCCCAAATATTCACGTAACCATCCGAACCACCAGTTGCAAATGTATTATATGTCGAATGAAAACTAATAGCATTTACTGGATATATATGTTCTACATTATTTTCCTTTATTCTGTGACATTTAAAAGCATATTTCTTTTTTTGTGCCTCCGGCGTAGTATCAAGATATTCAACAGCAACACGGCCTTCTATACTACTAAGAACATATCCCTGAAAATCATTGAAAAATTAAAATATAGTTATTTATTTAATACTAAATGAAACTGACATAATTCTTTAATGCTATTTAATTTGTAAAACATAAGACTCACTTGTTCATTAGGGAAACCTTTGATACAACGTGTTTGATACTTCAAACTGCTTTCACGTCTTTGAAACATACCAGCCATGTTTCTCAAATCCCAGATACATACTTTTCGTTTAGCTGTGCCTACTACAAATTTATCTCCACATACAGATAAAGCCAGAACAACATCGGGTTGTAAATAACTACCTACACAGGTAGGTGTTCTGGGATCCCAAAGTTTTACTGCTGCATCCCAACCACCAGTTAATATTGCATTTACAGCAGCACAATATTCAATTTTCCTAATTGGTTTATCATGTGTTCCCATTACTGATTCTACAAAATAATTTAACTTTATTTTGGTTCTTTTATTTCAAAAAGTAAACGATTATGAAAAATATTAATACCAGTATTGCTGTTAATATCATACATCTTTAGGGTATTTCCTAAACCACCGCTGTAAGCATGAACAGCATCCTATTAAAAACATTAATATTATGTTATTATGAAATAAGATAAATTAATAATACAAGATATATTGTAGCATTATATTACATTTAGATTTTTATAAAAATTGAAATGTACTGAAATTTTTGTAATTTGTTTATCATATGAAAGCACAATTATATGTGAAAATATAAAATAAACAGACAGTTTGATGAACTTATAATTACCTGAAATGCAACATCTAGAACTGGCAAATCATGATTATATTTTAATCTCATAGTATTGGCATGAATATCATACAACCGCACTGTACTATCCCATGAAGAAACAAGAAGAAACTGTGTCGAATTCGGACCAAATTCTACCGCCGAAATTGCATCGGTTGGAGGTGACTTTATTTTAAATTCCGTCCGGGACTCCATTCTTGAAGAAAAACAGACAAACAAGAAAACCTGTAAGAACTATTTACATGCACTAAACCAAACAGTGCAAATAAACATAACCTACAAACGGAAAAAAAACATTTACATATTACAAAATGATTGCTCTTAACAATGAAATTAAAGTATACCTATTCTCAATGATAATATAAATTTATATAATATTTAACTATTGATATGACTAAATATAAATTAATGTAAGTGAAATTTAAATACTCTAAAAAGAAGATATGTCATCCACTGTACATAATAAATATACATATACCGCAGTTCACCAGAGTCCATAACTGCGATGCGCAGGTTGGAAGATGGTGGGGGAACGCAGCGAGCTCTCTGCTTCGCCAATCAGGGCGAAGATGCGTACTGGAGATGCGCGAAGAACGAAAACTGGTCTTTTCGCAGTTATGGACTCTGGTGAACTACGGTATATATATAGACAAACACATACTAGACTAAACTGTATAAATGATGAGTCTGAACATATATAACATGAATATATATCGTTAAATTAATATAGTTTTTAAACATACATATATATAATCGCTTTATAACTAAATCTTAATGAATGGCTAGAGAAATAATACAAATTTCATGTGAAAGCATTAGGAATTTAAATCTCAGGAAGTATCAAAAACTCCATCTTTCTTTCTGTTTATACGACATCCGGTACACATGGTCGCTTCCTAACCCTAGTAATACCGTATAGACATTTTATATGGATTTATATAAATTAATTGTTCAGAAATATTGAATGGAATATAAAATACAAGCAGCATGGTAAGTTAATATTTTAATTGTATTATAAAAACAATTTTAAATATAGTCTTTTATTAAATACATATTTTTTGTAAAATGATGTTTTAACTTAAATGAAGCAACGCCTAGTGTAGCAATTTTTATGTCTTATAAGAAAATAATTTTATTTCAGTCTAAACTTTACATCTTGTTTGAACATGCTGCTGGCTATGCCTTGTTCTATGTTAAGGAGTTTGAAGAGGTAGGAATGTTATTGCCTCAAGTTGAAGCATCAGTTACAGATCTCCAACGCTTTCATTCAGTTGTAAAACTAATTGGATTTTCACCTTTCAAAACTGCTTTGGCAGCTCTTGAAAGTATAAACAATATTTCCGAAGGGGTTGTTCCAGAAGATTTACAGCTATTTTTAGATTCATGTGTACCAAAAGCTGGCAAAAATGACAAAATAGTTCTAGGTGTAGCAGACCCAAAACTTGGAGCTAGTATTACCGAAGCATTAGGCATAAAATGTGATCACACTGGTGTTGTCCCAGAAATCATTAGAGGAATCAGATTTCATTTTCATAATTTGGTAAAAGGTTTCACTTCTAAAAGTTCTGGAATTGCACAGCTTGGACTTGGCCATAGCTACTCTAGAGCTAAAGTGAAATTCAATGTTAATCGTGTAGATAATATGATTATACAAAGTATAGCTTTGTTGGACCAGTTAGACAAAGATGTCAATACATTCAGTATGCGTATAAGGTACATACTTAGGGTATAAAACTAATTTTTATAAATTCAAATATCATATTTTCAAAATTATACATATGTACTTATACATATATTAATTACAGGGAATGGTATAGTTATCATTTTCCAGAACTTGTGAAAATAGTTCCTGAAAATTATATGTATGCCAAAGTTGCACAAGCTATAAAAAACAGAAAAGAACTTACAGATGAAAAATTAGAAGCCTTGGAAGAAATTGTTATGGACAGTGCCAAAGCTCAAGCAATTATTGATGCATCAAAATCATCAATGGGAATGGACATCAGTCCTGTTGATCTTCTTAACATTGAAATGTTTGCAGCGCGCGTTATTGCCTTGGCTGATTATAGAAAGCAATTAGCGGAGTATTTGAGATCTAAAATGGCAGGAGTAGCGCCGAATTTGGCTACATTAATAGGCGATCAAGTAGGAGCTAGACTAATAGCGCATGCTGGATCTCTTACAAATTTAGCCAAATATCCTGCCTCTACTGTACAAATATTAGGGGCAGAAAAGGCCTTATTTAGAGCATTAAAAACAAGGGGCAACACTCCAAAATATGGATTACTATTTCATTCGACTTTCATTGGCCGTGCAGGCGCAAAAAATAAAGGTAGAATCTCGAGGTACCTTGCGAATAAGTGTTCAATAGCCTCAAGAATCGACTGTTTTACTGACATACCAACTAGTGTTTTTGGTGAGAAATTACGACAACAGGTGGAAGATAGATTGAAATTCTATGAAACTGGTGAAATACCTAAAAAGAATATAGATGTAATGAAAGAAGCATTGCAAGAAGCTGCACACATAATAGCTAGTATGGAACAAGAATCACCTAAAAAGAAAAAGAAGAAAAAAGATAAAAAACGAAAAAGTGAAGGTGAAGTGTTAGAACATGGAAAGGAAAATGGATTTATTGAAAATGGAGTTTTAGAACAATCTGAAGAACCAGTCAAAAAAAAGAAGAAAAAGAAGTCCAAAAGTTTGGGTTCTGATGAGTGAAAACCTATAACAATAATATTAATTTTCCTTATTCAATGAATGATAGAAATGGTATATCAGACTAAAATTTCAAACATTTTTATATATTCTAAACAAATCTAATTGCAAATTTTTAAATCCTTACTTAGTTTATTGTATATTAGTAACTGCATATTCTTATTAAAGAATTATGTTTGAAGACATATTTTTTCGAACATTACATAATTGGCTTATGTTTTCATTAAAAATTATGTATTATTTCTGAATGGATAACTGTAAAATATAATCTTTTGTAACTTAAATGGTCACGTGGATCATGCATTGATTCCATTGTATATTATTTTCCTGTTCCTTACTATTGCAACATGTATGTACAATATTAACAATAAATATATATATATATATATATATATATGTACATATGTATCCATTTATACATAGACTTATAATCTCGGTTATTTTATTCTTTTATGCACAAAGTTTGTAAAAACTTTATTTATTAAATACAGTTATAAGTAACAAACAAAAACTAAGAAAAATATGTTTGTATGCAAGCATGCCAAAAATATTTTAAAATTTTTCTAACATTTTATTAAATTTTAAAATAATTTATACTTGTATATTTAAAAATTTTTAATGTTTTATGTTGAAAGTAAATAGAATGTCATTACAACTTTTGAAGAAGAATATGAAACAAGGGGATAGTGAATTAGGTACTGCTAAAGGAAAAGGTACTTTGAAATATTCAAAATGAAATTAAATTAATGTTAATTAATATAACACCAGCACCAATGAGCATTTAATAACGATAAAACTGTGATGTAAGTATAAATACCTAAATTAATAATTACAAATACCGCAACTAACGTAAATAATATGCAGTCAAAAATCGACAAGTGAGCCATTTACCACCATTCGCATCTATATATATGTATATATCATAATGACTGTCCTGAATATCATCAGAGGAACAATAATTTTCAATTCTATAGTATTTTTTACATAAAATTATATGTAACTTGCAGCTATAAATTCTAAACGCGCGATTAATATTGATATGTACCAATACATATATATATATATATATATATACACACACATATTGCTTAAAAGTTTCAATTTAATGCTTTTTTTTTTTAAGTTAAAAATACTTCGTTAATACAATTATAATTCGTTTTACACATATGGAATAGAACATTAAAAAGTTTTATTAAGTTTTGTTTTTAACAATTAAACGTCTAGTATAAATCATTAATGCATTTCATCAATTTGTAAAACGTAGATTGAAAAATATAATCGCGCGCAGACAGCATAGAAATATATAATCATACACTTAAACAGAAATTTGTAACAAATATAATTCAATAAAATGATATCTTCACGTTCTGCTTGTCGAATTCTGAATCTATAACTCTACTAATATCCTGTGTACAAATTTATAAAACCTATTTACTAACAAAGAAAAAATTTCATTTTAATTTCAATGATTCTAGGTTTAATGCAATTTCACTATATAAAGGCCTCTGTAATTCTAAACGATAATCGTGCCTCTTCTATGTTAGTTTTTCATGTGGTTTAATTGATGGTAGTACCGCATTTTATTATATTGACTATATTCATTTATGTTTGTACACTAATACATATGTATGTATATTGCTGCATACATACATACGTATATTTTAATACTTTAAAAATATATTCCCATCTACATCGAGTAGTACATTTTATATAAAATACTCAAATAATGGAAAATGTAAAGGGCTATTTTCCTTTACAAGATTCAGTCTCTGATACTCGTATAGAAGCCTGTAAGTTAATTCCACATTAACATTATGAGAAATGATTTAAACAAAATTTGATGACAACATAACAATACCACTGTTTGACAAAGATAAAATACTTTCAACCATATGAAATATGTTTTTTGGGCACCTGTCCTATAGATACTAATACAGTAATACACATTCTATGAAAGCAATAGATTATGTACTAAATCATTCATTCATGAACATCTGTAAATACAAATTCTAACTTTGCTGCAAATTCTGAAATACCTTGCAAGTTTTACTTTTATAAATAACAGAGAAATATAACATCTATCATTATGTATTAAAATATAACGGGCAAATAAAATTATGCTATTTCAAAGATTTGTTACGGTAAACAAAAATAACAAACATAGCATGCAGTCAAGTTTTCAACATTCTTTTACAAATAAATATTTTTAACATTTAAATATCAATATAACAAATAATTCTAAGATATATTTCAGTATCATGCAGCAAAGATATATATATATATATGTATATATGTAAAATCAAGTACTAATAAACAGCACACATAAAAGTAAATACAACTTAATAATCTATTTAATTAATACCTAATTATTGAAAATTATCTTCCTTTCTCTTAATAATCGTACGAACAATTATTTCGAAAGATATGCACTTCTTCATTGTTAGTAACAAAGAGCTAAGAAAACGCTACTTAATCTTTACTTTTTCCACCTACTTTACAAAAATTCTAGAATATCATTCAATCATAAAGATGATTAAAATTTTCTTTTATAATTATATAATTATGTAACTGCGAAGTCCTTAAATAATTTACAATGGACCATAAATATGTATTATTAAATCACCATGCTGAGTAGAACGCTTTTGAGGCGCATAAAACATTTCATTGCGCTGAATTTGTGCTTCTGTGCTTCTTTTTAAGACACTAAGCTCTCTGTTGTATCCTGCATCATGCTTTCATACATATTTATATCTTTTTTAATAATATTAATTTTACAGAACTTTTTTTTTCGTGCAAAACTAACTGTTACAGGGAAGCACTTATTATTAATGGATGTTATTGCGTCTGTTCCGTTTTTTTCTTTATAGACGAATATCATCAATGTCTAGAAGTCATAGTAAAAAATTGAAATCGTTTATACATTCTTACGTTATTAAGCTATATTATGCAGCTTTCTAAAAACTGCAATTATTCTATTTTCTGTATTCAACCCCTGTAAAAGCATTTTTTGTTTTTCAAAGATTTCAAACAACATTTAACATACTGTTTTATGTCCAATGGTAATTAAGTATACTACACTTTTGTGAGCATCTATAACTCTCTTTCATGCACACATTCTTATAATACATTATACATGTAAGGCATAATCTTGATTCGTTCAATTTACATTATACACATGTATATAAAAGATTGAAGACAAGTCTGCCTAAATTTGTTCCCCCATGATTTTCAAATAATAAATGTTCGTTAAAAAAAAAAGTGCAATACTTTTATATATGGTGGAATGTTAGTGGGAACGCATGTTATTTAGAATTATCACTTTAACAAATATGTACTCGTATACTAAAACTTAATCGATAGAGCTGCTCTGAATGTTAAAAGTAATTTTATACTTTATATAGCACTCATCCGAATTAGATGCACTTTCAAATAAACTGTAATTTCTTTTTAACTTTTGGATAAAAATAAAACAATTGTAAGAAATTTCGTAAATAAAATATTAATAAATCATTGAACTGAAAAGTATACTAAAGTGAACAATTGAATGTAATTTTCTTTACCTGTTTATGAACACATGATTATATAATATACATATACTTCATTGACCATTTTGCTGTGACATTTGCAGACATGCAATTCTTTACAACTGCATCCTGTTTAATGAGATTGCTTCACCCAGAAAATAGAAAATTTGTCTCTGTTTCTTATTAAATAAATATACCGTTCATAACAGGTTCTGGTTGTTTTAACTCCAAATTATTTCATGTATGTACTCAGGTTTTGTTAACATCAGCCTTGATTTATTAAAAACATTTCATTGAAATGCAGGAAAAAATGCTGGATTTACATGTTGTTGTTTCTGTTGTTGAGATTGAATCATAGGTGATGTATATCCCATTGTTGGTGATGCTAAAATAATGGGATTTTCTTTGGTAAGGGATATTTATTTTAATGTAATACAAATTACTCACCAATAACATTAGCTTGATGTTGTGGGCTATTACTTGCTAATTGATTCATTGTTGGTGCCGGCCCTGATTGCTTAATTTTACTGCCCATAATATTATCAAGATCTATGTTTAATCCTGAACCAGCCCATGTAGAACCAACTTGTATGGAAGTATTACTTGATGTTTGACTTTTGGAATTGGTTGATGTAGGAGTAAGAAGATTTGTAACTGGTGATAATCCAATTGATCCTAAATGTGACATTTCTTTTAGTTTTAATAACATATATTTTTTTCAATATTTCGTTATAGTTTTTTAGTTATATAAAATTATTGCATAAAGTGACAAAGAGGTACAAATTCTTACAAGTTAGTAAAATACAGTTATTATCAGCTAAACTTAAATAGTTATTAGCTACTATCGTTAAGCAATAGTTTTAACTTGTACTTTAAGTTTCAAAAATTATTTTAATGCTTTTACATATATTTTAAATAATACAGAAATAAATTTTACAAAACTCTATCTTATTTAACAAACTTTTAATATAAGCTATACAAAATGTTTGAAATCTTCTAAAATTATTTTACTTTTTCTTGCAATATTTTCGTTGTCGTATTATTTAACTTATATTAACATTTTTTATTTAATTATAGTTCATTTTAAAAATGTTGAACCTATAATGGAGTCGATTAAAAATACGGCTCTAGCAGCTGAACTCCTACATTCTTTGTCATGATCACCACAGATCACATTTTGAAACGAATCTAGAAGCCATTGTCTTATTTCAAGAACTGTTTCAAATAATTCGTTCATGATTACATCTTTAGGCACTGCGATTAATACAGCTTCAACATTTTCTATCACTGACATCCTAACTTTTGCTTGATCATGATATCTCAATGTCCATGATAATTCTAAAATTTCTTTGCCCAGTTTTGAAGCTAATAGACAATTTTGTGCTGCTACCATTATAGTGGATAATGTTTTCAAGAACTGAATTAGTAAGATGTTTTCTTGATCTAAGAAGATCTGTGATCCACTATTTAAACAAGTGCCTTGTTTACCAAATCCATATAACAAAGGATAAAAAAATGAAGATGCCACATTTCCAAATTTGTTTTTAAACGTTTTCAAAGGTTTCATTGTATGTGTATACCTTTTTGTATTTGATTCAATTCTTTTATTAATAATTTCAGACCAATCTGTAATTTGATCTTCCATCATCTCAAAATCTTCAAAATCATCGCTATATAATACTCTATGTCGCTGACTACTTTCTGTATTAATGAAAAGTGATACTTTGTCTGAAACTTTTTTCTTTTTTGGATTTACTTTTGCTTTACTAACTGTATCTTCTTTATCTTTATTAACTGGAATCTTTGATAATCTTCTTGCTGATTCTGCCAATACATCTAAGAAGAATAATCTTTGACTTACAGAATACATATCTAGATCCATATAAAACTGTTTACACAAGAATTCAGCACATTCTTTAGGATAAATAGTCACTATAGCTACGCAAGATTTGAATTTTAATATTTCAAAATTTTCTACATAACAAATTTCTTTAAGCACGATAAAAAGTCGCAATAATTCAATTGCAAAAGATTCGTCGTCGCCTGGTAATTGAGATAATATTAATTCCTCAGAAACTTTTAGAGATTCCAAAAAAATATCTGGGTTTGTTGAAGTTTTTTCATTTTCTAAATTATCGCGCAGATCCCGCAAATAGGCTGGTCGTAATTTTTCGCTGATCTTTGTATCATAGGACATATCGTATGGTACTAAATCATCATCACTATCAATTTCTGAATTACTTTCAATATTGCTTTCATTTGTTACATTATCTTTTGAAATGATTTCAAACGAAGTAATTGATTCTCTCAAATCTGTTTCTGCATTTTTACTATTACGTTTCATTTCTACCACATTTTTAGGCAAAATGTTACATTCAATACCTAATTCGTACATTTTCTTGTCACCTAATGTGTTAAATTCAATATCTTCAAAAACTAGATCATTCACTTTAGCGTGTTTCTCTGTTTCTGAACTTGTTACTACATGTAGTTTTTTCAATGATTCAACTAATTCTATTACTTCAGTTGGCATACCGTTATAATCAAAGGAAAGTTTTTGTCCATTCTCTGATTCAAATAATTCTTGAGTGAAAATTTCACCAACAGACATTCCTATCGCTCTTAAAATAATATGAGTGCATTGGAGGTGATTCGACATACCGGAAGCTAATAATGCTTGAATATCAATTTTTTGATTCCAATTTAAATACCGTTTTGATTTTCTTATACACATAATTATTAATTTAGTAATATATGTATGCTGCTCTAAAGAAGTATGATTTAAAGCACTTTTATCACCCCAAACATCCAAAAGTTTCATTAATAAATCAATCAAGATGTGATCTCTATTTAAAAATTCTGCTAAATATGATATTAAGTTTATTACTAAATTATTATTGTCATAGTAACACATTAAGGGAATTTTTGTCGTTAACGTGTACTTCCAATTCGAATCTGATATTAAATTTCCAAAAATTTGATACACCCCAAAGTGTATACTGGAGTGTTTTAAAAATAATACTGCTACTGGTTCAATACTAGGTGTATCTAGTGTTCTTAATATATTTTCTATCGTATTTCGTTCATTATTTTTATTTTGGAAACACCATTCTGTTAAAATTTCAATAAGAGGTAAGAAATTTTCTGATTTTGCAGTAATCACCAATTTGTTGATTAAAAATGAGAGTGATTTTGTATCTGCTGTGATACCATAATGCGAACCAACGCTTATAAAGGAAATTGCCCGAACTATATAAAAACTTATTGCTTTAAAATACATCGGAAGAGAAAAACTATCGAATGTATTATTTTCCAATTTATTAGCTACACGACTGGGTAACGAAATTAAAATTTGTATCGTGTTTCGCCATGTTTCATCAAATTCCTCCTGTTGCATTTTGTTTTGCATTCGACACTTACATGCGTCTATTATTGCAGAAAACAATGCATCACTTTTCATTAATTCTACCAAAATTATTGAAATTGTAAACATTCTTTTTCTATCCTTAGTTTCTTTTAAAGCAGAAGTTAAAGCGATTAAAGTTTCATTAAACACTGCTAATGTGCTACCCTCAACAATGACCAGCTGTTTTAATATCGGATCTAAAGTATTTTCTCTTAATGGCCAATTATGATCAAATTTTTCAATAACTTCTTCTAAAATTTTTCCATGTAACATTGGATCGATTTCTAAATCGAAATCAAGATTACTATATTTTTGCGGAGTAAGCGGGCCTGGAAAATATTTAACATAATCAGAAATATATGATTTCAGTTTCTCCAAACTATTCTGATTTTTGATTGAACCCACGGAGGAACACAATTCTTCCAAAAGTCGATTTGCGGCGTGTTTCGAAAGATTTTCAGTTGAAGCGATGCTTTTTTCCCTCTTGGATGCTGTAAGGAAAGTCTTTCTTGGGGGCATTACATTATCTTCAAATATATTCGCAACATTAAAACATGCATAAAATTTATACTTTCTTTAAACCATAGAAAAAAAAAAATAATTTATCTGAACAAGTAACATATCGTAATCCGATTAACGACCGCGCTATATTTACGCAACGAGTATACATTTTCTTGTAACGAGGAGTATAATATGATTAGTATAATTATATCAAAAAAACAAAATATTCTCACCTCCATGATTAACGGCGACAGGTGTTGTCGAATTCATATTCATGAAGAAATTAGAGTTAGCATTATCCGTTCGCCTATCCATTGAACCGGCGGCGCTCAAAGAATTTAAACTATCTAAGTCTGATAAAAGATCCGTATTTGAAGATGCTATACAGAAACAATTATATATTAATGTAATTGTAAATATTAATTAATTTCTGAGAAATTTTACTAGCGTACCTGTATTATTGTTTACCGTTTGCTGGTTGCTGAGCATTTGCGGTTGCAAAGTGTCAAATACATTACTATCCATACTAGGATTTTGAGAAAATGTATTTCCAGAAGTCAGAGACGTAAAAGGAGGCGTGCTAACCGATTGAGTATTCATAAACATTGCGTTATTTACATTATCCGTTATCGAACTATTAATATTTGGTATTGCTGTTCCTATCAAATTTATTTGCGCTTGCGACGATTGCGACTGCATCTGATGATTTGATATCGTAACAGAAGAATTAAAGGCAGATGTAAAATCTGCGAATTCGTCGTTACTGTCTTTCGTTTTTACAGACGGTGTACCAAATGCACTAGTAAAATCACCGAAATCTGCATTTGCACTTGGAGTCTGTACAGCAGGTTGAGTATTTGCTCTTGGATTAAAATCATCATCATTATCATCGTGATCATCATCATCATCTTCGTCATCATCAACAACTGATTTAGTATTATTCTCATTCTGAGAATCAAAAATATCATTTAGAATATCATTTTTACTTTTTTGTTTGATAGACAGAGAATTATTTTGGGATCCAGATATACCATTCTGTAAATTTCATTTATACATGTTATAAAAATGTACAATAATTTCTTTTATACGAAATTTCATCACTTACATTGGACTGTTCTCTTCCATAATTTGCAGCTGCTCCTAAATCTACTTTTTTAATAGCCCTTGGCATACGAGCTGGTGAAGCATTTGTCGAAACTGTAGATGCAGCTGTCTTATTAATACGATCTATGTTATCCATTGTATCTCTATATTCTCTCCCTCCTCTTTTTGGACTTGGGTGAACATCATTATCAGAATCTTCTCTTTCACCATCATCGCTATTAAATTTATGGAAAGATAAAATAATAATAGAGATATTTAATTTTGGAGAATATACACAAGTTCAAATTTACCTGTTATTTGTATCCTCAAATCCTTTCCCTCGACTATCTCGATCCCAATCGTTGTAAGCATCTATACTACTTTTACCCCATTTTGGACTATCCGTCCATCTATCACCGCCACCGAATCTCATACCCATTGCTTCGCTCGACAAACCCACGTATTTATCCTTATTTTTCTTAGCTTTCTTCCTCTCTTCTCGCAATTTGTCATCATCTTGAATGAAATCAATTAATTCCCTAACTTTGTGTCTAATGTTTATCCCTTGATCTTTGCCGAATTCATCGATGCAGGTATAATTCTCTAAAGATTTCAGATCATAAATGTGTTCTCTAGACGATGTAACTACTCTTTCTGAACCATTGCGAACTAGATAATTCAACAGTAGAAGAGACTAGAAAAAATAGAGACAACATTTTAAATAATAAATATGTACATTTCTCGAATGATATCTATAGGAGAAATAAGCTCTGCGTAGTGAACATACCTTATACGTTCGACGCCAATTTCGTTTATTTTCTTGCAACATCCTTTTCCATAACATGGACATTACCTCGGGAAACTGCTCGTACGTGAATGTAGCTTGAGCCAGTTCTTGCATCATTGCCCCTGAAGTAATATATACGGTACAATTAATTTCACCATGTATCAAACTTCGGCAAAAGATAAAGTTACCAAACAGTCGTAAAAGTACGAGTACAATAAATAATTTACTAAATAATCAAAGAAATCCATTGAACAAAGCATAGTATTACTAATAATTTATTTACATTTATTTTATATTATCTTTTAATAGAATATTGGATTCCGAGCGTATAAAATTATTATGCTGCAAATAAAAATAACGTTCGATCAATAAATGTTACTTTATCTTCGTAATATTAAACTTCACAAGTTTTTCCAATAATTATCAATTAATGTGATAGTTTAGACAACATAATTTTTAAAACACATTTATTTAAATTTAAAAGCCGTACCTGTTGGACCCCAAGCATCATCATTTGTTGCTTCTCGAACTTTGGCCTCTGTTTCCGTGTAGTTCATTACTACGTTAGTCCTGTCAAATTAACATTATTTATTTATATATATAGCGATAAATATACTTTGATATCTTGTATAAATACTATGAAACAGTGTGTATGTGTGTGTATATATATGACGATACTATTAAATTCCAAAATAAAATTACTTTCACTGTATTGGTGTAGATCATATGAACACCTGTTAATTGTGCAATAACTTTACGCCCTTATTCACACACATAAATACTTTTCAGTTTTCAATAATACAACAAAAATGTATTCTTTTCAAGGGAAGTGTACGAAAATGTTAAGTGTATGTATATAACATCTTATTTAGATTTATCTTTTCTTAAACATTTTTCTGATAAGAAATGATTGCGCAACATAGAACCTTCATGTTTATTTCGAAGTTAAATGCTTTATTACAAATAAAAATTTAAAATAATAATCAAGTATGGAATCGAGAATCTTTGACTATTATTCAAAAAGTGCTGTTAGAGATAATGGTGTCCTTCCGATTCTCGATTCCCACGAATCGAGAAGAATCTCGCGTTTTCGATCCCTCGTACCTGCGATGTTAAATATCGATAAAAGCAGAAATAGAATGATTGAATAGAAGTAAAACAAATACATAAATATTGAGAACCGCTATTCGATTCAATGTTATATGCGTGTACGCATAAACGATAAATAAAAAACCGATGTCGTAACAATGCTTATAAATTTTATAATTATCCAAAAAGAAAAAAAGACACATATAAGGCAATGAACGTTCTCCCGAACATCAAATTTCTTTAACTTTCGATTTTGACGCATATTTTATAGGCGCGTTGACCGAAATTGCACGAAAGCGTAACTTAACAGATGAAAATTATACATGATAACCTGACGTCCTTCTAAACAAAAAAAAGTGCAAATAACAAACTGATATAAACAATACATTAAATCATTAATGATTTATTGTAAAAAAGGAAACATCGGCTAATTTCAGTCTCTGTCATGACAAAAAAGTTACTTTTTCTTCTTACAGTTTTACTGAAGGAAAAAACAATAGGAATAATTTTGAAAATTTGTTTTCTCGGGAAGTAAAGACAAATATGTGTAACTAACAAAGCAATAAATAAAAGTTTAGCTCGAATAACGAATATAAACGTAATAAAAACAAACAATATGATAGTTATGCAATTACATACTTCACTGTTTACATAAAAATTTACCGTTGTATATTTACCGTTGTGTATTAATAACACGTAATTGACAGATAAACAAATGAAAAATTTGCAAGATAATTACCGAAGTGTATAATGGAAAGGAAAAAAAGTGAACAAGTATTTCGTTATTTTACAGTTCCAAAAGCGTTTTCCTTAAAATTATAAATGATGCTTAATGTTATGTAAAGCTAAAAATTTATAATCAATAAACTGATTAATCATTCTTGTATAACCTATCCGGATAATATAATAATATGCATAATTGCCATAAACGATCACGCAATAGATTCGTATGAATACATGTACATTTACGAAATCTTTTACTTATTTTATACAAAATTCTGTAACATTGGAACAAAATGTTCATACATGCGATTGGATAGATTCCAGTGGTATGTTAATGAATGCAGGTAAAATAATTATTAATTATTAAAGGAGTACAGAATTAGGGATAAACGAAAACTCGTGCAGCGTATCGAAGCAACTAGAGTGGAATGCGTTGAAAAAAGTAAAAGCAAGGTTAGAGCGCATGCAACTGACTTAATAATACTTACGCCTTATCCATTAACTCCCGCACTTTCCACATGTTCATCATCGTACTTTACACTTCTCACTGAATAAAATACGCGTTTTTCGCGTAAAAGGCAACTCAACTTACACTGATAAATGTTCACCAGCTGTTTTTCGGGGGCATTTGATATCGCGACAGCAACGGCGAACGAACGTCACCAGGCGGTGGCCATGTTATCCCTTCCACGTTCCATTAAACTAAATAATCGTCACAGGTGTTTTACTTCTGCCAACCTCACTTTTCATTATCACGACTCTTTCCACTACGTAACACTTTATCTTTCCACGATACAATTTCGCGTGATTGTTAACTGTTGTTAACTAAAAACCTTCAACTGTTTAAACTATCAGAATGAATTTCATCTATGAATCTTATGGATCATAAAATACGTTCACCTTGACAAATATAAAATACCTATTAATATTATTTTATTAATTGTCCATGTATATTTTATTATTTAAAATAGAAACATTGTTTTTTGTAGTTCAATATGTTTATATTTAAGTATAACATATTTCTTTTTGTATCATTGCCAACTGATTATTTAAAAACTATATCAGTAATCACATAAATATGTAAATTTTCACTATTTTACTTTATTAGATACTTTTATATTATTGTCGTCGTAATAAATACTTATTTCTTTAATGAAAGATTGTATGTAAATAAAATTTTGCTTGTTTATCATTTTACTACGTATACATAAATACAATAATAAAACAACACAACAGCATATTTTTTAGCAGAAATAAAAAATACAACGTATTATTCTTTGTTTTTTTGTTTTGTTTTTAAATATAACTTAGATGTTGTTCATTAATCAATTTCAGAAAATCTTTATTTTTTAAAATACCAGAAGTGCCGCGAAAAGTGCCAAATGTTAATATGTATACGATATAAAAAAATCATAATAGCATTATTATTATATGAAAAAAAAAGTGTATCGATGATTGAATATCTATATATTTTCTATTCATTATTTTACGTTATTGAAATATTTTATTTAATAAATATATTTAAGCTTACTGTGTTAGATAAATCACTACCAGATGGTGTTGGATCTTGTTTCACATGTATTCAATAGTAAATAAAATACGGTTGGATTGGTTGGATTTAACATAATTCAAGTAACAAATTAACAACACATCTTTCACATTAGTGATTAATTATGTTATAAAATGTATGTATGTATACCTATAAATACATAAATTGTAGTTATAGCTAAAAAAGTTAGTTAGAATGAAAATAACCGCCGTTGACGGCGAGACGATAACGAACGTGCGTATAAAATTCAAAGATGTCAGAACGTGTTTAAACTGTCGTTATGATGGAATTGACAATGGAAGATTTTAATGATGGAGTGGATGGTAAATTGGCTTTTAGAATGCGAAAAGTCAATCCAGAACAATTTCATACTCTCGTCAAAATGCATTTGTCTTTTGAATTAGATCTTAATACTGAAGAGTAAGTTTGATTCAATCAACATTAGAATTTATAACATGATCTTGTTATTTTCTTAATTTCTTGATGATAAATCGATTGTCTAGTAGTAGTGACTGCATCAATGAAAAGACAAAACTAAAAAAATGGGGCCTCTTAAGTTTTTCAAAGAAACCAAAGTCAACAATTAATTTACAAAAGGGTATAGAAGGAGCTAACTTATCTGAGGATGGAATAAATCAAATGAAACAATTAATAGATTATTTGTCTAAAGAACAAAGTGAGTGAAAATATTTTTTATATTAGTTTTTATGAACTAACATTTTGCCTTCTAAACTAATTCCTTTTTCTTTTTATTCTTATTTTTCTTATGAATTCAAAGATATCATGCAAGAAGGTATATTTAGGCGTACTGGTAAATTAACCAGACAACAAGATTTGAAGAGTTCATTGTATCAAGGAATTCCATTAAACCTTAACGATGGCAGATATAGTGTACATGATTGTGCATCAGTATTAAAAGGATTTTTGGCAGAATTACCAGAACCATTATTGTCAGATTTGCATTATCCTGCTCACTGTCAAATTGCTGGTAAAATAAATATATTTTTAGTTTTCAAATTATAGTCACATATTTTTACAAATATTTTTGTTGAATTTTTTTTTTTAATTCAAAAGTTACTTTTATTATTTTTAGAATTATGTAGCTCTGAGGTAAATGAAAATGATGCAAGATTATTAAGATCCCTTCAATTACTTCTGTTACTTCTACCATCTATGAACAGAATTTTACTTAAACATGTTTTGAATCTTCTTAACAAGACAGCCAGTTTTGAATGCAGTAATAAAATGAATTGTGATACGCTTGCTACTCTTTTTACTCCACATTTAATGTGTCCAAGAAAATTATCACCAGAAGCTTTACACATCAATTCTCAAAATTTATCGTGTTTAGTTGCTTTTATGATTAAAAAAGCAAGCGAATTATTTGAAATTCCACCAAAGTTGGCCACAGATATAAGAGCCTATTGGGTAGAACAAGAAAGAAAATTATTAAGTCCCAAACGCGTAGATGTAAGTTTCCTTATTTTCTTTTTTTTGAACGTTTAATATGTTAATTATTATAATTATTGAAACATATCGACATATTTGTGATTACAGTTGAATGAATCTATACCAGATACAACAGGTACAGCGCATACTGTGTTCAGTTTTGTTGATCACAAATTAACAGCCAAAGCAAATTCTACACAAGATACTCAAGCAGCTTTAGCACAGCTTTATGCTCATATACAAGCTATGCCAGAATCAGCTAAAAAACGTAGGCTTGTAAAACAATTTAATAAAGAAAATGGTCAAGGTACACCTAGACAAGTTAAACACTGTCGAACCAAGAGCCTTGGAGATTCAATAAAAAAACATATATTTCAGAAAAAGATCTTAGGGCATAAAAAGTTTATTGACATTAACATAGGTTGCAATATTACTAGATCGAGCAGCGAAGAAAATATATTGTCTACGGTAAGATACATATCTTGTAATTAATGTTAGTTAAGTTTGTAACAGCATGTTCATATTTATGTTAATATTTGCATGCTTGTTGATGCGAAGGATCTAGAAAAATCGTTGCTCCAAACGAAAATGCTGCTTAGCAAATCAGACGATGAATTGAGTGTAGACAATTCTGATACAAATAACGAAAATCTTCTTCATACCAAACACATTAGTAACAGCACTGGTAGTCTTAATATTCCCACATTAAGGAATTACAAAGAGAAAAGAAGGGCCATGTTGATGAGATTTGTAAATATAAAAGAAGAACAATTGGATAATAGTTATCATAATTATATTATGGATGAACCAAGTAAAAGTTTTCAAGAAAACTCGTATACAGATGATTCTATGCGTTCAAAAAGTGACGCAAATATATCTCTGCAAGTACATTTTAATATTGAGGAATCAGAGCAAGATGATAACACTGTCAGATTATCTAGACAGATGAGTGAACCACCAGACATGTATTCTTCCCAAACTACTTTGCATGAAACGAGTGAAAATCAATTAATTAGACAAAATTTAAGACCTACGTTGAGAACAATTGATGGAATTTCCTCTTCTAAAGGTTCTAAAGATAATACGAATATATCGGAACAACATACGGAGGCAGAATCGAATACTGATAATGCATGCAATTTATCTCCTATTGTAAAAAACAGGCTGTGGAATGTATATGTTGCTCATACATCAACACCATCAAATTTATTACGCAAAAGCTTAGTTAATAATGATTATATGTTAACTCCTATTACTAACAATGATAAAAGCATGAGTCCAATTACACAAAGTGCAACTAAAATGACAAAAGCTATGCAGGTATGTACTTTTTTAACTATAATTAATCTATTCAAGTAACATGAAAATTCATTTCTAGAAAAATAAAAGTATTTGTTAATTGAAAATAATTTTCAACAATGATTACAGGAAACAATGATGACACCACGATCGAGAAAACCTGTAATGATGGTTTCAGGATCAAATCTCTGTAATCTTGCTATTGTTAATAATAGCTGGAATCAACATAGCATGTCTAACAATATACGAGGATCAAATCTTGATATTATAGGTTCAATGAACTATACTTCGATTCTAGAAGAATCTCAGAAACCTAATAATACTGACAGTGAAATTATATATGGAGATATCGTTGATTCGGAAAATAAAGAAAACTTCAACAAAGAACTAACAGAACAACGAAAACTTGTTTCTTCGGTTCCGGATGACTGTTATGCGGTCGCACAACAAAGCACCGTGTCTATAACAAGTACATTTAGAGAATATTTATTGTCGAGAAGTGTTTTAACCGCTAGTCCCGTTGATCTCAGTTTTACATCACGTACGGGAGACTTCGAGCAATCAGAATCTGACTTAAACATCTTAAACGAAGATGGTCTTTCTGATAGTTTACTTTGTTGTTTAGATGGAAATCAACCAGAATCTGATACCTCTGGTATCATTTCTGGTAGTACTAATAGCGCAAGCAATTCATTGGAAAAACACGACGAAGGTACAAATTCACCAAGGAAACGAGCAACTAGCTTACAACGTAACGATTCAAAAAGATCGATACGAGAAAACAGAATATCAAATAGTATACGTGAACAAGGATTTAAATATAAACAGTTGAGCGAATCAACATTAAATTCAGTGAAAATAAAAGATACATTTCAAGAAACTTCATTTTGACAAAGTGACATACTTAAAATTAAAAGAAAAATCAACGTATTTCAATACATTGTATAATAATACGTTAACAGTTAACCCTTTATGTCACTTATTTATCAATGATGCTTGAAAATAAAAATAATTTGAATATATATTCATCATGAAAATTTGTATCTCAAAGCTTTTGCAATTTTGATACTTGTTTAACAAACTAAAATAATTAAACTGGTAACATTTACACAATAAAATGTTAACATTTCAATAAATGAAAATAATGTATAAAACTTTTTTATAGCGAACGAAGTCTTTATACTACTTACATTCATTTTTATTTTCAACTACAACAGAATTACAGAAACGAGAGTTCTGCATATAAAATAGGATACACAAAATTGGTCATAGAAAAATATAGTTTTTAGAAATCTATAAATGTAATTAGTAAGTTCGTTTATATGTTTCATACAGATGGTACAAAGGCTATCTGTTGATTATAATAGATTTCTATTTAAATATTTGTATATAGCAGAAAAATCAGACAATTTTTAAAAATATAATACAAATATAATGTGTACACTTGCACACTAAATATAGGGTTGATGATATAATAAAGCTAAAGGTAAATAAATTCTCATATTATTGATATTAACCATCATTAACATATCAATCTTTGACTGCATTATTTCTATAATAATTTGATAAGGTAATTAGATAATATTAATTACTTACTTCTATTTTCATGATAATTACATATACTCACAGTTTATAGTTTGTCATTGTTAGTCACTCTAAAAAGAAAGTGATGCATAACATGTATCATAAGTTTCAGAGTTATGTGAAGATGTGGATGATAGAGTATTAGTTGTCAAAGATGTTGACATGGGTCAGAACATATCATCATGACCCATGTCTGGAATATATGATAGACCTCGTTCTTTTAATGCTTTATTTATTAATCGTTTTTGATCTTGCTTTAACTCTTGCTCTCGTCTTTGTGCATCTAAAATATCATCAACAGATACTTCTGTTAATGGTAAATCTTTTTCTTTATCTCTGTCCTATAATTAAATTATATTGAATTTCATTAATAAAGACATTGTGTACATATTTTAGAAAAATAAATAAATTTATATATAAAGATATTACTATTTCTCCTAAAAGTACAACATTCTCTCCTCTCACAATAAAAATGCCTCTTGGGATGTCTCCATATTCTTTACCAACATGAATTCTTTCAATTGTACGATGAAGTACAATGTTAGCAAATTGATCAACACTTCTTAGATATCCAATTAATGTTCTGCCATCTCTTAGTAAAACCATAAGTTTTTCTGAGTCAGAATAAAATATCATACAATAAGTGAGACACAATAGACCGGCATAACCTAATAAATAACATATTTATTTACATCTAATACGAATACGTACTGTCAAGTTCTTCAAGAAGGGATGCTGTTCCCGGCAAAATATTCATTTTGCAATATTTTCTGTATCCTGAACAAGTATCATTCAAACTAAACAAAAAAAATAAATATCTATTTACCGCTTTAACCTGCCGAAGGATTTAAAACTAAAACCATTTCGTTTATTCACCAATATTTGTTTAAATTATTTCAACTTAAAAAAATAATTATCAGTTGAGAGATATTAAGAGAATAATTATTGCGATATCTAATTATATGGACTGTTTACAGCTACTATTTTGTTGCTAGTCGAATTGCAGGAATTCGATTTTTAAAGTACTGCTATATACATGAATTCAATTTTTTGTCCTACTATACTTATTCCGCGTTGGTAAAACAGTCAACGTTGCATCGAAAATTAGATCGAACAGAAACTGATTTAAGTGCCACCTGAATTATTGCATCCAACTAACTAAGTACGTTACCTTTCGCAAATACCTAAATGACACATGTATGCTATATGTATAAGTACATAATTAAACAATACTGACTATGCATTCATTATTATTAATTTTCAATGTGATTCGCATGATTCCTAGTTGTACAATCGCAACTCTATTCAGGGTCAATTCACCCTTGAAAAAATGAAAACATTGGAAATATATTCGTACAAGCACTGACTCTACCGACCGCCTTGCGCGCGGCCACAACAATTCCTGGAAGAAAAGATTAGTGAGGAGGTTGGGGATGGGTGGAAATATACAAAACAAAACAAACATTCTTTTTATTGAACGTTCGTTAAGAAAATACTTTTATTACGTGTAAATGAAAATATCAGTGTTCGTGAAATATTTTCAACGAACCCGAATATTATTCAAGTTGAATATTGATCCTAGATTATATTGTAATAATGAAATGTTTTACATAATTGTTGATAATTATTTCAATGAATATTATATGGATAGAAAATCATAGTTAAATAAATATAATAGAAATATAAAGTTATTGTTAATAAACGATCGAACTATAATTGATACAAAATGTTTTAATAGATACAATGTGTACCTATTACTTATGCGGAAGGCTGCTCTCAACACGTCTTGTCACTTCGATGTTCGCGAGAGAAATGGCGAGACCTTCCTTCCCGACGAAGAGCGGTCGGCACTTCGGCAACGCTCGGCAACGTTCGGTATATTCTGCTATCGGCCAATACCTAACGATTCGTTAAAAATTATCGACGCCATATTGAAATAAAATCAAGATTACTTTTCAAAAACTTTAAACACCAAAATATAAGATATTGATGGGATTTAAGAAATTATTGATATAAAAGTAGAATAAATGAAGGAAATGTTATTTTAATTCGTATCTATATCGGCGTAATAGATACCATCACCTTAATTATTTTTCTCTATCAATCTATTTTGATATATGTGAATTGCCCCGAATACCTCCTTTACTGTTCTGCCCTCCTGCTACCAGGAGTTTAGTACTGAACGTATTCCGCTAAATGGCGCTGTTTCAATTATTGATGGCGATCAAACATGGAAAGCTAATAAAATTGTATTCATACAATAAAATTTATTAATAATAATTATGAATTGTTAAAATAAATTTAACTACCTTCTATTTAAAACCTGTATATACATACATATTCTCCATCAGTTACGAATTTTATGTACAAAGTTTAAATGTATGTACACGTGCGTACATAACCTTCGTTATAATGACACAATTGTATAAAACAAAAATATTTAAGCAATTTGTGCCATTTATGTTACTTGTTATAGGAGGGTCGTTTTTAGTGAGAGAATTCGCTAAAATAAGGCACGTTCTTTAATATTTTGTTGATTACACGATATTGTAAGTTCCTGATTAATTGATCAATTTTGTAGATACAAATATAGGAAGGTTACCACGTATGATTTAGCTAAAGAAGCCGAAGCGGTTGGTATTAAAATGAAGAAACCTGCTACCCTTGAAGAGGAATATGAGAATACAATGAAAGTAAGTTTTGCTTAAATGATATTAAATAAACAGACAAAAATGCTGCTTCATTGTAATGTATAAATTACAATTTTTTTTTTAGAAAATAGATATTGATAACTGGGAAAATATTCGAATATCAAGACCGTGGGAGGAAACAACTGATACAAAATAATAGATTGCAATAAAAAAAAATATTTAGTATAACATGTCGTACTTTTAACAGTATATTTACAGGTGTATATAAAAATGTATACCTTATTTAGAATAAATGTTTACTTTATAAATGCAACTCAATTATTTGAAGATCTTCTCACGTTGTTGTAAATAATTTTATACGTTTATTTAATATCACTAGTAATTGTAGCACAGCTATAATTTAAGCTATTAATTTCAATCACTTTTTATGCCAATTCTGAAAATAAATACTTTTAGATAAGATTAAATAAATATGGAAAGAACTAAAATTTACTTTATAAAATCATGAAATTTTTGTATTTTACTTACTTTTTTTCTCGAATCCATACATACTTAATAAACCTTGTTGTCTTTGGACCGAACAAAGTTGTTGACTCCGACGTGTATTATTTACAACCTGATAAATATTTTAATGCAATAAATTATACGATTTGAAATACACGTCTGAATCTATTTTTTGATAAAGTATTATAATAATACTCACTGTACGAGATTTTGAGTTTCTATATTTATCACACTTTGCTTTTTTATTTATTTGAACACATTGTCTTGTATCAGACCATTTAAATGAACTATTACTCAAAGTACTTATATCTCCTTGCTGAATTAAAAAATCGAAATCCGTATCTACTTCTGATACTGTCAATGAACTATTTAAATTACATGATTCATTTATATTAGTTTTATGTGTGAGAACTTCGCTTATCTGAACATTTACAGGTGATGTCATTAGATCACAATTAAAGGAACTATTTGAATACTTGGTAGCTTTGCACTCATTTGATGCATTATGTTCTTCGTCTACATCCATACGATATGTATCAGTTTTCACTTCGTCAGTTATCATCAAAGCTTGTAACTTAATATCATTTGTTTCTTTAGATTCGTTTTTATTTATGTTTTCTTTTTCCAATAAAATTTTATTCGAATTATCAGTTGGACATAGTGTGTTGTCATTAGTTACAACATTACTATCTGTTTCATTAGTTGGTTTAGCAAAAAATTTACTTTCTGTAACAACTTCTTCATTTACAATTGTTCGTCTAAGACGCATAATATGTCGACCCTTTACTCGACTTTTATGTTTAAACAAAAGGCTCGGAGAAGTTTTAGTAGACGATGGTTGTTTTGCAAACAGATTTGTTCTTCTAATCAAAACAGGTGATATTTCTTCATCGCTAGGAACACTATCAATCTCTAAATTACTTTTAATTTCCTTTGTATTTTTATCTTCATATATATCTAAGATTTCTTTTTGATTTAACTCTTTGCAATCTGTAATAATTATTATGTATCTGTTTAATATACAATATATATATATTTATATGTATATAGAATATTTCCATACCAGGATGATCCTCTTCTATTACTAAACAAGCATTTCTTAATCGATTCGTGTTGAGAACTGCTTCTTTACCCACTGTATTAGGCCAGGTTGTCAGATCTTTTTTTTGAATAAAGGATTGCAACAGATTTTGCTTTGATACATATTTCTTTGACCAAATACTAATGTGTTGAGGATGTAACATTTTTTGTCTCCATGTATTATTAGATTTACTATTAAGAATCTAGGAAATTTACAGTAAAAATTTCGAGTAATATACGTTGCAATAACATAATAATCATCAAGTAGATCTATAATGATTTTATTGCGAGTGTTTACCTCCGTTTTATCAGGATCAAAATTATGAAGCATTTTTAAAGTAAATGGATCACAGTTTCCATAAGCAAGCTGTAGCGCAATATCAGGACTTGTCTCCGTACCAGCGTAGTATAACTGTTCCTCTGTCACATCCGACATAGGTGGATTTAACCGAACTTGTTTTCGTTGTAAAGGACAGAATACTAACTGATGTTTAAATGTAATATCTGCTAATATAAATGCGTCTCTGTATTCTTGTGTTACAACTAAGGATTTCATATTCAAATAAGATCCTAATCGAGTTAATGCCTATAAAAGTAAATGCTATTAATTTTTAGATGTATTTAGAAATGTTATCACTAATTGTATCTATATACATATATGTATAAAAATATTTACTCTATGTATATTACAGTCTTTATTGGTCCTAATAAATTTCCTTGCTTTACTTAATCCAATACCAGGCAGAGATGATAAATAATCACAACCTGATAAAATACACATATACCGAAATTCATCTAAACTGAAATCTGCAGAACTCACACCCATTGCAAGATGTATTAGATCTTGTTGAACTAAAAGCCCATTACCGTATGCATCCATTTTGAAAAAAATCTGTAATATAAAATTTATGTACATCATGCTTTTGAAATTTATTTAATTTTGTTTTTTATATTTACTTTTTTACAACCAAACAATGTTAAATCGCTATCTTCAGTGATAACAACATCAGCAATCCCATTGATATTAAGATACGCTAATTGTGCATCTGCTTCATATGGTGCCACAATACAATCAATGTTCATTTTGTGACATTCTTTGATCAATTCTAAAGCCATTTCATGGGTAATATCTACAGATCTTCTTAATAAATTTCTACCCTCTGCATGTTGCCCCATTTGCATTAGCTCAGCAGCTTTGCGCCGATTTGTCTCCCTGGCTCTTAAAAAGTATAAAAATAAAAATAATTAAGTTCAACAATTCATCAAGTTTACATTATATTAATCTATGTATAAAAAACTATTCGAGGTAATAAACTAAATTAATTAAGTATACAGATTTAAATAACTGAATGATTAATAATTAAAAATAACAATGCAAAGCAACTTCATATTTTTTCTAATTTACTTAAAATTATATATACATACTCTCGTCGTTTAGCTTCAGTTTGCGCTTTGGCAGGCAAATGTCGTCCATCGAATACAAGAATTGGTTTTATTTTATAAGCAAGCAGCATATGTATTTGTTTCATACAATAATTAATATATCTAAAATAAAGTAACGGTTACACAAATAATTTCATTCTAATTGAACATAGTTAAACAATAACATACGCTTTTGTCTGTTGTCCCATGGACAACTTATCGGCACAAGCAAATACACCTCTGTGTAGCCAACAATAAGTATCAATAGCAACAGTGCCACCAGAAAACTTATTAATATTCGTTCTTTCGGAACATTTTTCTAGGAATGGAAGTAATCCCGTAATACCCATATTTTAATTTTAACAAAAGTAATATCATTAATGAAACGAATGTCTGAACCACCGGCTCCACTATTGTTACCGTTATTCACATTACCGCCAAAGTGTAAATCAATGGCTACAGTAATACTAGATGTCTAATTTATTGATATTCCTACGTTGTTATGTGAACGTAACTTTAGGACTGCGTGATATTCGAGTAGCGATTTATAAAACCAAAATTTAAAAACAATTAACATACATATGCGTATATATACAAAGATAGCCCTGTAAAATTACTACTTATGACGACGCTTCTGAACTAATATTAGCGGAACCGATAAAAGAAGATGTTCCTACAAAGTGTTTTTCCACATAGACAAAATCATTTATATCGATTTCTGAATTACACTAAAATTTCTATTACCTATTATGCGTCTAAGGCAGGAAAAAGGTTTGCTGTTATAAAAACACCTTATTTAATTACATTATTTTAAAAAGACCTCCACATAACAATGAAATATACTGCCATCTGTTGTGTGTTATTATGACTTAATAGATTTAAATTATGTTTGTATGTATTTCTTTTTCTTTTGTTTTGTAATCGCGAGATACCCTACGAATAGATATACATACATACATACATACATCCAACCTTCTAAGAAACTGTCAAACTCAAATCAAATTTAACAGTTAAAAGTACAGTTTCATAAATGTAGAATGTATTTACTACATACTATGTAACCGTTTATATATTAGTATAGGTGTGTTAATAAATCTATATATGTATATATACAGTCATGTTTGTGTAACTATATATATACATACCTACATAGAGCTAGATAGAAATGTATGAGTATATTTGTGAAACGAACTTATAACTTAACGGTAGGTTATAATCATTTTACAACTGAAATATTTAATTTTCTGTTTAACGGCACTATCTTAATGATAAGTTTTTATTGATTCAACATGATTATTACCGTATTATTGGCTAGAATAAATTATTTTAATTTTGTACGTAAAACTTTTACTATAAATATAATGTATAACATATTTATTACGCAATCTGAAAATAATGAAAATTTAATATAATAGTTTTCATTTGAAACTATAGTTTATTCGTTACACTAAATAATAGTACTTGTACATTTACTTATATTGTTATTGCAAATTATTAACCTGTAAATATATTTCTTAGGTTAGCATATCATGATATTTAATAAATGCATATTAATCATTTTATGTTTTCATTGTTTTTAATTATACGGAAAGATATTAATAATCATTTCTTTAGGTAATATCTATTGTATTAATGGTAAGAAATAAAGATGTATATTTAAAAGTATTTCTGTCTAATTTCTTAAATTTTTATTGAAATTGTAAGATACATTTGATTCATTATACTTGATTTTTAGCTTAATCATAATGAATCATATATTTGTATTTATAGATTTACTATATTTTACAACGCATCACAAAACAATGAAAGGATGCCATGGATGAACACAACAATGATCCATATGAACAACAGCTTTACGCCGTATTTCAAAGTTGTTTAACAAAAGGAGAAACTGAACTGCAGGAAGATAACTGGCTTAGTTTGTGCCATAAATTACATCTGACAGAGCAAAGTGACGAATTAAGATCATGTATCCAACAGCAAAAAAAAGAAAAGCAATCTATATCATTCCAAGAATTTAGAACTGCTCTGTTAATGTTATTAGATAAAAGTCAAGAAAAAGATACCATAACAGAATCACAATGCGATTTAAGTTCAAATGCTGTAGATAATAAAAGAGGCAATTTATTGCTACCTAATAATATTAAATCTAATGTAGATTTTTTAAGTATAAGAACAGGTAATTATTGTGTGTTATTAAATTGTAAAAATACCTTTTATAAAATATAGATATAAGAAATATATTTTTCTATTTTTAATTTTCAGGTGTACCTGTAGATGAAAATAGATTAAAATGTTTATGGGAGAAAGTAAACATCTGTTTAAAAGAAAATGTAGATTCTGCCACAATATATTTTATATGTAATTGTTTAGGAATCCCAGCTCTTCCAAAACAAGTAAGTAGGTATACGTATAATAGTTTGTTTTCCAAGTACAGTTTGAAGTAATATGTAATATTTTCTTTACAGATTATACAATGTATCTTTGAGAAGCTTGATCAGAATTGCGATGGGTTAATTAGTTTGGAAGAATTTCTTGTTATATTTCAGAGTAGGACACCTGTGGAAGAACAGTTAACATTAGATAAGAACAACGAGACCGCGAAGGAATTAACCAAGTTGGATTTTAGGAAACGTAATTTTGATGTACATACGTCTCGTAAAACTAGGTATTCTTTCTAATACAAATTTCCTAAAATGCTTTGCTTTGAACGTATGTTACGTCTGGTTTTTTTTGTTTATTAAATAATAGCTTCACAAGGAATGCTTCTTTCCTGGATACATGGAAACTTTCTAATATTGCGAATACATCCTTGTTAACGGACGGAGGTCTTAAGTCGTCGGAAATTTCGTTAGCCGATTTGACAGCTACTTTGTGCGACGAACTAAAAAATTTCAACGATTCATTGGATCATTCAGCAATTCGATCCCATATAATGTTATTGCGAGATGTTCTTATACTATATCAAGAAGAACTACATAAATTAAAGTACGTTACAAATTGTACATGTGAATAGTTTAAGCGAAAATTTTAACTAATGAACATTTTTTTAGCCTTGTAATAGAAAATGTTAGTGGTGAGAAGGAAAAATTACGTACCGATATTATAGAAGCCAATGAGCGAGCAAATACTCTTGCTCAAGAAATTGACGAACAGCATGTTCGTCAGGAAGAGATTGTACAAAATTTACGAAAGCAACTTGAACAACGCCATGCTGAAACTTTACAAGAACTTTCCAATCAACTTAGTTCTGAACGGGAAATGAATGCTACTGCTTTGAAATCGAAAGATGAACAAATACAAATGTCACAGAAAGAAAATCATGAGATTAGAAATAAATTTGTAAATGCATTACAGGAGAATCAAGTTTTAGAAAGTGAAAATGAGAATCTTCGTGATCAGATTGAAAAACTTAAACAATCAAATACCGAGTTACTAACTCAAATAAAGATGTTGGCGGCAGAACATGACGAGGTAAACGAAACATATTTTTCCAAGTAAATCACGAATATGATTTCTATGTTTATAATAATAACACGTTTATTGATTATTCGATCTTAGTCGCAAAACATAGAAGTTAAACATCAACAAGAAGTTATATATTTAATTGATCGTATTAAGCATTTACAATCCGAGGCTGTTCTCTTACGAGATCAAAATGATGAACTTACAGCAGAATTAGAAAGTTTAAAACAGTACGATTGTCATGCTAAAGATATAAGGTAATATATGAGATAACAAACTATTTTATATACGTCTTAATATTAATTTTGTATTGTTTCATTATAGACAGAATAATTTGCTTGGCGCTCATACAACAAGGAGCAGCATACAGTCGGACAAGACTGAAAATAGTAAGAACAGTGAACTTAATTAAGTTATATGTTCTTCTTTTTTCTTATAAATAAATTATTATTACAAATTTTTTATTTAGGTAAAGAAGCATTTGTAGTGGATGAAGATGAGTTAGATGTATTTTTAAAACATTCCACTCCTGTAAGTAGCATTTATAATAGTAATTTATAATATTTGATTGAACATTACAAGACAATGTGAATTCAATGTGAATTTTATGCTGTTTATACAGACATTTTGTAATTCCAATGAAGAAGATAACATGCAAAATTGTAAAAAGATAGACTTGAAAAACTTTAAAGATATTGTTATAAAACAATTAAAAAATGTTTTATTAAGTAATAACAAGTGCACTTTAGAAAACTGTTCGCTTAAAAATGAGATATCAGAAATAATTACAAGACTACAATCGAATGTAAATTCTCAAGGTGGTAAAGAAATAGATTTTGTAAAAAGTATTGCATCAGAAATGGAAACTGAATGTGAAGAACGAACAACCGAATCGTTAAGGGATTTTGTTGTTTCCAAACATAAACATTCAATTCCTGTGAAGCGAGCAATAATATCCAACAATAACGATAATAATTACGATATCGATAATCTCAACAATCGAGATATAAAAAGTTTATCACAGAATAAAGTTTCAAGCCTTAGAGATTATCCTCCGCGTAAAGAAGAGTGTACGAATGTAGATCATTCAAAGTCTAATAAAGAAAAAGACACTTTGCTTATTCAGAGTACCAAAGTATCAAACGAAATCAGCAGCAAAATTAATTCAAGTTTAACAAAAATGAATGAATCATCCGAAGATGTCGTTGCTTTCTTAAATTTGAAAATTCAAGAATCGGAAGCAGCACATGCAGCCGAAATGAAACAATTAACTGAGCAATGTGCAGAACTAGAAAGAAACCTTGATTTGTTGAAAATAGAATATGAAGAATGTGAAGACTTTTGGACCGGTAAATTAGAAGAAGAAAGACAACTATTTGAGCAGGAGCAAAAAATTAGCGATGAAAAGTTTTCAGAACTTATTGCTAAAATGGCAGAATACGAAGAACTAATTAGCCCTGTAGATAAAGCGAAAAATGGACGTTTGTCTCCGATCGAGGAAAAGTTTAACTTAGAGCAACAAGTAAGATATTTTTTATACTTTACATAATATTTTGTATATGTATATTATGTGTATATAATTTTATTTATACAGTATTTAGATCTCGAAGAGGAGTTTGAAAAATGGAAAGGCCAGATGGAAGAAGAAATTACTCAAAAAGACAAAGAAATAAAGAATCTACATGAAAAATTAAAGTCTTTCGAACGACCGATAATGGTTGATATATCTGTCCAAGTTACAGATGAATTTACTTTTTCATCTTTATTGGCACGATCAAATTATGTTCCTAGTGATTCATTCAATATTCAATCGTATAATGAATTATCTTCAAAATTAGCTCAGTGTAATGATAACATTCATAAGTTGCCTGATGAATTTAAATACAATAGAATTCTAGAATCCTCAAATTTGTCAAATGACTTTATTCCACGATTAACGAAAGAGGAGGTGGATGTTAGTAATTGTGATCCATACGAAATGCATACACAATATTCTGTGAAAAGCAAAAGTGGTACATGCAAAATGGAAAAACCCGAATTACAGTGGGAATTAACAGAAGTTGATGGGAAATTGTACAAGGAAGAAAATATTCCTGATACTGAATATGATGTAATACAGAATACATTAAAATTACGAAATCTGAATGTATCAAATTGTCAATGTATGAGAAATGATGCCCAAATGTGTTGCGTAAATGTAAGTATATTGCGAAATTTAAATGCGAAACTTCAAACACAAGAACGTAAGAAACATCAATTACAAGAGTGCTTTAAACAACAACAGTATCATATTGAACATGTACTACAATGTAAGTATCTTAATATTTTATCAGACAAACTATTTAATATTTTATTACACAATATTAAATATTATTTCAGATATTATATCTCAACATCAAGTAGAAGTATCAGAGTTACAGTGTCTTCTTCGTAATACTCAAGAAAGGCTTCAAATAGAATTTCAAACGAGCGCAGAACAGGTATACGTATCATTTTGAACGATAATATTCTTGAATATTGTTTAAAATAATAATATTTTCTATTAATTTTTACAGGCTGAACAATTAGCACGGACTGACATATTAGTTAAAGATTTATATATAGAAAATGCATGTTTAACAGCTAATTTAAAACGTTTACAGCAGCATTATCACATACTAACAGGATTGAATGCTGAGTCTACTTCAATATGATATTGCAATGAAGACAGCTTGATCAATAAAATAATGGTAATGTTACTACTAATATTTTACTATTAGTATCTTCAAGGTAGATATTATTCTACCTAAATTGTTAAATATTACTTCTTTTCAATTCCAATAGAGTTGAAAAGAAGTAAACAAACAAAATGGATATTTTGTATTATTAATGTTAAGTTATAGATATCCATATATATATAATCCTTCAACACTCTTGCATAAATATAATGGACATCAAAAGAAATAAACGAATGTTTTTTGAGTTTTGCTTTGCACATACATACAACAATTATTTAATTACAATGAAGTGAAATTTAATACAATCTATGATAATGTTGTGTATAATGTATGGAACAGGGAATGTCGTATGTTGCCTTTTTTTTTTGAAGTTTGCGTTCAAAGCAAGCAATATGTATATATGGCTAGGTTTTTGAATTTTTCTAAATTGAATTTAAAAAGTTAGCGTGTTTAATATTGAAACACTGAATGATTAAAATTAGTTTTATAAATTACACTTATAAATGTATGATCCCAACGAACTTACAATCTTAGGTATATAATTTATGAAAAGAAAAGCTAGAGAAGAAAACAGTCCAATGATAATTTTAATGAGAAAATATCCAAGTCGATCAGTACAAAAATGACTATTATTCTTTAGATGTTATCTTTTAAGTTATCACATATAAACAGATATCTCACAAGTACATATTTGCTTAGAATCTTTAGTATAAATGCCAAAGAGGGAATTTCAATAAAAAATTTACATTAAATTTTGAAGAGAATAAAAATGAAATTTTGTTTACTGTGAGACTGAATGCATTAAAATATTTATTTTATTTGCGTCAATTTTAATAACTAATTAATAACTAGGATTGAGAAATTTAAATATGAAATTCATAGTCTTATCGAGTATAGGAAAAATTGAGGGTATTATGAATTTTTAGTTTACAATTACCATTAATTGCTTAATAATAATTGCATAAATATTACACATAATAACGATTATGCATTAATATTGAACCAAATACGATTAAGGGTATTGTATAATACACGATAACACGTAGTTATATTTAACAATTGTTGATAATGATAATACATAGCGTATGTATATACATATTATCTGAATTTACTCACTTTGTATAATAATTAATATAATTCAGAATTGTCTAATTTCAATTGTACCGCTGCCATATAAAGTATTTTGTACATGATATTTGTATAAATATTTGTACATTAATATATTGCAGCAAATTAAGTTTTTCCATATTTGCCTTAATGAAAATTTTAATGCATCCTGTTCAACTACATCTTTTTATATGTCAAAGCTTCCTTTGTTATCGCTATTAAATCATCTTGTACTTGAATCTTATGATTTATCATAATGGAATTGTTAAACGGCAATAATACTAATAATAGTATATTTAAATGATACAATTTGATGCAATAATTAAAAATATAAGAAGTTGCTATGCCTCATTTTGTTGTTATAAAAAATGTAACAAGGAAAAAACTTGATGTCAAAGATGTATTTCATTTTCTGTTAATAATAAATAATTTTGATTGAGTTAATTGACGCGCGAAAATGTCTTTACCTATACAATATACAATGATTCATCGTATGGATTTTTCTATTTCTATAATTAGTTTAAAAATTAAAATCAAATGAAATATTCATTGAATATAAATATAAAATTATGTCTACGTACCTTTTTTTTTTTTCTATTGATGTTCGTCATTTCGTAGAGAAATGAATGAACCGCGAATACGTGAACACGAAAGATATCATTTATTTATAATTTATGAGGACAAACAAGTAAATGTACATAGGAAGGACACTTTCAGTAAAACACATTTGCTAAATCATTATCATGCTTAACATAATAATAAAAAAAAAAAAAATAGGAAACTAATCGAAATCTAATCACCAGCCTTGCTGATATAGTCTTTCTCCAAACGGCGTTATATTTGACATGCCATAAAAACAATCTAATTAGAATTATGAAATGTTTTGAAGCAAAAAGCATGATAATTATATGCACCTTTTTTTGTTTGCTAATGACACTAACACTAATCTTTCGTCGCTTCGTAGCGAAAAATAAAGGACTTGATGTGATTCTTCGAATGGACACTAAACATTCCTACCTTCTTATCTCTGTTTATCTCTCGCTCTTTCGTTCGTTCTTCCGTTCACTCTTTCTCTCTCTCTCTCTCTCCCTCTCTTTTATTTAGTTGAACGCTTTTCTTTGTCACTTTCAATTCCTCTATACATAATCTATAATAGCGTCATAGTAAACTAGTAAGGTACAAACAGGAGTTTTATACACGGTTTCACGAGAGAGTACATTAAGCTCAGGTCTTATTTCTACTTTTACGAAAACGTGGTCCTGTGTGTGTCCAATTTTGCGTGGCAAGTTTCAATTTGAAACTTCGACTTCGATTTCGATTTCGACTTCGACTTTGACGTTCGCCGTTCGCTGCAGTGTGATATTGGCGATTATCGTATCACGCGGATCCATATTAATATTGATATTATTTATAAATAATATTAATATTATTTTTATTTATTTTATCTGGCGAATATTCACAGGTTTGAATCCGCAGCAAACACGTTAACTCTTTCTGTCGTATCGTTAGAAAGATAACCTGAAAATCGACGGAAATTGGCGCGAAGTTTATAGATGCAATTTTAGACACGCACGTTAGACAAACTTTGTAAAGTTTGTTTAAAGATGTTGATTGCAAAAGAAAGGAGCAAAATAAAAACTTGAAATAGAATATTTTAAACCTATATAGAAACTTTGATGATAGAAGTCGGCCTGATAGCTACAATTTCTTCAACTATTGATAACGATTGCTCGCCTTAGAGACATACACGATTATACACGTTTATATTGTATAATACGTGTTTGTATTATATCTGTATTTACGTTGTCCATTCGATTCATTTCGCGAGAATGGTCGACGTTCTTTTGCTTTGGGAATCTAACTTAAACTAATATCGGTATATAATTCGTAACATCGAAATTAATATTTTATTTATTGAGCAAGGGTCTAAAACATTCTTTCGTCTCTTCAACTAGCGAAACTAAGGCTATGACATCCATATAAACGATTATCGATGCAACGCTGCTTCGAAGATCCACTAGGAAAGCAACCTTTCACGAAAGTATCCAGGAAAATTAAAAAGAAAAAAAAAAACAAACTATGAAATATCAACAAAACAATTATATTATTAAAATTAATCAAAAGACGGCTGTGAAAACCAATACTGATAAATTATTCATACTATCTGCTCGAATCGAGCAATGCAACGAAGCGATTAATGCCCAAATTCTTAAAACGAGATTACAAAAGCTTTCAAAGCATTTTCGTCAAAATTTTAATTAAATATGAGTTTACAATGAACGTGGGGTATTTAAAAAGAAAAATATATATGTATATTTCAACAATGTTCATCAATAATAACATTACAAAAAAAAAAAAAAAAAAAGAAAAAGAAAAATTATTTAAAACTACGTCGAATGAATTAGATGATTAAATATTACGTTAGGACGATTGTTACCAACGCGGTTCAATATGAACCGTCCCGTGTCCCGTCCTGTCTACTTAATCCTTAATAATTATAGGTATGTACGAAGCAGCATTATCTGCAAAGTGTGCACCTTCGAAGCAGATGCATTATTACAATTACATTGTTTCAATGACTGGGTTCTTCTATCTAATCATAGTTACGCCTTACAGCCCTTATAGCCTAATATCATAATTTACCCGTGTCCACGGGCACGATAGGTACAGTATTATTGACAATCATTAAGACGGATCCTACTATTAAGTATAATTAGGTACATTTTGTGCAAGGTAATCGTTGTGTGACAGAATATAGGACAAGTGGCTACGCACTCAAAACGACTGAAGCGTCTTTTTGTAAAATGATGCCGTACCTCTCCCATGTATGCACATACGCCTTGCCTTCGTTCTCTTTATATCTTCCTCTTTTTTTCTTTTTTTCTTTTCTTTTCGATTATAATTTGTGTTTTAATTACCCTCGAAAGACAAACGAAACAAGAGGATCCGACTCGTCCGGTGTATAAAGTATATAAAGGTTTCTACCACAGCCCATTTAACGATATATCATTCATATATATATATATATTATTGTTATATTATCATATACGTATCGTATCATCGATACAATTCGTAGTGTACATTGAAACGTAACATATATATATATATATATATTTATATATAAAAACACTAAGAACGACAGTTAATTTTCTTTTTTCCCCCTCTCTTTCGTGTCCAAATATTTATGTATCTTCCTTCTTTATTTAATTCCGTGTTTCTTTCCTTTTCTCTTCGTTCATTCGTTCCTATTTCCGACATTCTTTCGCGAATCTACATATATTTTTATTATTTAACCAGAAACTGCACGAACGACACGTATCGCGATATAAATGATTTAATGCCAAAGATTTCCATCTAACCTGAATTATGGCGAATAAGAAAAAACTTCGTCAGAGTAGTGAAAAAGTTCTCCGCGGTTGTTTTTGGATTGTCGATTCAGTTTCATATTCGAGAATAAGGGTGCGGTATTGTTTCGGGTGTCAGAGCGTTGTAAAATCACAGCCTAAAAGCATCGAAGAAGGTTGAACAAACTGGCAACGATACACCATTTGCTAATTGTTTTTTGCCATTTCATTCCGACACGCGCAAAGGAATTGAAACTACGACAATTAAATTGTACTTTCACAGCGAAGAAGCATCTTTTTTCCTTTTTTTTTCCTTTTTTCTTTTTAAATTATGCGAAAGCAAAAAGCGGACGCGTTACTGTTGAAAATTGGTCGCACGTTTTTATTGTGTTTGTTCGTTTTTCTTTTTTTCGTCGACAATTTTTCAATGGTACACTCGAAGCTTCGATTACACAATTGACACGTAACAAGGAACACGAAACGAAACTAACTTATCGTATAATAATTGCTTACTTTTTCTTTTCTCTTCTTTTAGAAATACGAAACCGTTCGAACGATTCAAAGGAACTTTGGTAAAATTAGATGCCTTCCCGATTTGTTGGTATATTAACTGGAGTGCACTGACAAGGAGATGCTACGAGGTGCTAACTCGACTTTCGAATGAGCTCTAGTGCATTCGAAAGGGGAGGTCAATAGTACAAATCGTGTTAAGGGTTTTGGGTGTATGGGCCTTACTTTTTGAGAAAATTGCATAAATATTTATGCATTTTTTCAGCTGTACTATAAATACAATGAATAGTTGAATATCAGTATGAAGCAAATTAGCCGAGCAGGTTAAGTGCCCGTGCAGCTATTGTTTTGTAATCCATGCAAGCTCGGTTCAAGACAGCATTCTGATAATTTTTTTTTTTTTTCTTTTAAGATTATTCTATTTATGAATTGATTTTTTTCATTCTTTGCAGCAATAAAAAACGATTTATTACTTGGTATTATATCTGTATGTAGTTATTATGTTATGTGTTATAAAATTCTGTCATAAAACTACATACAGATATAATACCAAGTAATAAATCGTTTTTTATTGTTGCAAAGAATGAAAAAAATCAATTCATAAATAGAATAATCTTAAAAGAAAAAAAAAAAAATTATCAGAATGCTGTCTTGAACCGAGCTTGCATGGATTACAAAACAATAGCTGCACGGGCACTTAACCTGCTCGGCTAATTTGCTTCATACTGATATTCAACTATTCATTGTATTTATAGTACAGCTGAAAAAATGCATAAATATTTATGCAATTTTCTCAAAAAGTAAGGCCCATACACCCAAAACCCTTAACACGATTTGTACTATTGACCTCCCCTTTCGAATGCACTAGAGCTCATTCGAAAGTCGAGTTAGCACCTCGTAGCATCTCCTTGTGAGTTGCATTGAACTTGTCGCAGTGAAGTTGGCTACAAATTCACTCACTAACCATTCACACCGCGTCGGTGAGTCGATCTCGCCCATCGTCTCACCGACGCAGCGTGAATGTGTTAGTGAATTTGTAGCCAACTTCACTGCGACAAGTTCAATGCAACTCAGGGTACCATTTTCTTGTGATTTTCCTTTACGATCGAGCAAAGAAAGTTTGTTCTAAAAGACGATCGTCTCTCCTAGTTTTTCATTCCGGCAGTTTAAGTGTAATTAATCTCCCTGAATTATAGGGATGTTAAAAAACAGTCGCATAGTGTAACCCAATTATATACATGTATACGTATAGTATGTATAATAAGTAAGCGTAACGAATATCAAAAAAGTTGATCGCTTGCGGACGACGATAGTGGAGTTTTCTTTCTTTTTTCCTCTTCATAATTACTTTTGCGATCGGTGACAGTGTCACAAACCATGTACAATATACATATATGGATAAAAAATTATTTTGTGCAATTCTGAAAGTGCGAACTACCGTCGGCTTAGAGTCTCTACAGTCTTTACTAGTATATGTATGTGTCTCTGTGTATTCATAAGAAAAAGAAAATGCACACCGGGACGCGTAGTCGCATACAAATTTGAGCACTGTTTCTCCTTTCTTCTTTAATTAACCTTCTTGTTCAATCGCGTGTATGTACCATTTCAGAGATACATTAACCTTTTTAATAGTACGAGTAACACTTTTGGTGCCATCTCAATTGTAAACAATTGGAAAGATTGGAAACGCTTCGTTTTTTTTTTTTATCGCGTTGATTGAATTTAATTCGAGGAAATAATTTGAAAAATGGAAGGAAGAAAGAAACAAGTCAGACTATTTGAAACGATAAGAATGGACGCAACTTTCAAGCACCACATGAAACTGGAGGAAATCCTAAGTGTACTCGCTTTCATTGTCAGATATATTTGATGGCGAGTCGACGTTTAACGAGCTCGATATATATATGTATATAATAATTAGGTCGTAGACTGTTTTGCATTTGGTACGTCTATGTGCCCCCGTCCCATTGAAGTTGACAGCACGATTTTTTAGCGATATGTCGGCAATCTGATAGAATTAACGACCGATGTTAGAGTTTAGCACGGTATCTCGGTCGGAAGCCACGAGAGTAAGCGAAAATATGGACTAGTGATCAGGTTGAGAGTGAATCTCGTTTAGAAAATTACGCGTAGACGAACGATAATTCTCTTTCATTTTTCTATATCGTTAATCTAACACCTAGAACGCGACGCGTCTGACTAATTGTAAGATTGATAGATAGAATAATTATTAAATTGAGAGCGATTGCTCCATTCTTCTCGGTGTTTGGGAAAAAAAGAAGGCAAAAGAGAGCCCGAGACTAAAGGGAATCTTTCTCTCTCTCTCTTTCTCGTTTCTCCCATTCGATTGATCGTAAACGCGAAGCAATCACGACAACGATTTAACGAAATTTATTAATGACTACTCGAGAAACGACGCAAAGAGCTACACAGGTTCGAATCACGTCCTCAATCAAATTTACTAATCGACAATCAGAAAATGGCAATAGGAATCGAAAATCGTAATCGATCACTTTGCACTCGAATCACGACCCTCGTCGAGCTCAACTCTTTTCATCCTACGTTTAATAATTATTGTAACGCGATCGTTGTATAGTATTTGGTATTTAATGGTCCGCGAACCAAGTATTCCCCTCGCGACGTCGATGTTTATTTAGACTTTTTTTTTTTTCTTTGTTAAATTTATTATTATTATTATCGTTTACTTCTCATCGTCGTAATATCCGACCATCGTTGACCCATTACTCTGAATTAGCAGAGCGTGTACTTTCGAAAGCAACGTAAAACGATTGTCTTTGTACGAACGAATTGAAACGACCAGGGATCGCGACAATTTTTTCAAACCGTATCCACTTTATCGAGCCTAACGAAATATTCAATTTGACAGATCGCAAAGAGAAGACCGTTTGTCATTGTACTCGCGTTTAATAATTAGTTTAAGTAAGAACAAAGCGCGCGTGAAACAGTTTTTCAATTGTCGAGATCCTCCAGAAAGAATATATCGAGCAGGCTGACCAATTCTGCTTGTTTTTATCGTTTACATTCTTTCCCTGAGAATTTTTTAGCCTTCAATCCCTCGGTCAATGCCGGCCTTTTTTCTATTCTCAATACCGAAGCGTATCGATCGTTGCGACGTTTGATCGCTGAATTTGATTGAGGATCGACAGAGATCCTACTTTCGCTAAAAGCGTTAATCAATATTTGTGACACGAAAACTGTCGTTACTTTTCAATACATCTAATATAAATTGCGACAATTTTCCTTAACTAATCTTTCCTTTTAAACGAGCAGGGAAACAGATTTACCAGCAAGATGCACTCGTTTAAACGAAAATAATATAATTAATTAACTAAAGCGAGTAACCAGAAACTTTAGGAACAAGATTGTCGATTCGTGTCTCAAAATCACATATGTTTTCGTTAAAAGAAAAATAAAAGTTGAATATAATTGGTAAAAAAGAATACAATAAGTAAAAAGGGAAGATAAAGAAAAATATAAGAATCACATAAGAATTTCATCTTCAACATCTAATTGTTTAAAGATACGTCCAGAGAAAGTTGTTTCAGATATTTACAATAAGAAATTGTACTATAACATTTCAACTAATTAGCAATCTTTCGTCGAGTATCGTCGACAGTGCAGCATAGATACACTGGCTCAAAATAATTAACATCGTTAACAAATAATTACTTTCAAGCTGCAATTTATTAGATATTCGATGTTCTTTTCCTTTTAATGATTTTGAGCCGTGAAAAAGAAAAAGAAAAAAAAAATAGAATGCATCTTGCCAGCGCCTAATGCTAAAATTTTCATTCTAAACAGAATATTATTCTAAACGATGCCATTGAAACGGCAATTTTTCAGATTCACAGATTACTTTTCTCTTATCAGAATACTCTACATTTCGGGCGCTTTTAATCGCCTTGTTTTAATACAGATATATACGTACGTGTAATATAGTATAGCCTTTTAACTACTAATCAATCTCGTTTTGTTCGTCTAATTTTCCATCTACAACGAATTCTACCTAACTGACATCGATACTAATATCCTTCTATTATACGATCAGGATCCGAAGATCTCTATTCAACTACAATTCTCCTATGAATTCTAAATTTTCTTTCTAATATACATGTATATAAAAAAAATAAGCTATCCGTCGTTTGGTTTTGTCAAATCATCCCACAATTAACTAACCCTTTACAAGTGTTTTAATTTTTCTGAGATTTTAGCAAAGAAATAAAATTGAAGGAAAAAGGTAATGAAATTAATTATGGGATGATATATTATTTAGCACGTAGCGAGTCTTTGGAAATCGATAACGTGCCCCGATTAATATTTCACGAGCAATTCCACGAGCAGGAATTGTCATTGAAACGAATAGGAACGCGTTTGATGGCGAAACGCTACGCGAAAATCTGAGAAAACCTCTTCCGATCCATCGACCAACATCCAAATTGAAATCGAACCCGTTCTAAAGTGTCCACGATTCTACACAGGCATACCGATTTAATTATATACACGCTAAAAACAGGAAGAAAATGAACAGTCCGATAGACTGGAGGAAGAAAAGACAGAAAATTTAAAGCAAAATATTTTTCTTTCATCTAACCACTCTTTTTACTTGGATATTTATTAACCGATCGAATTCGCGCCTATAACATCGAAACACCCTGGTAAATCGGAAATAGACAGCTATATTCAACTAAATGTAACATGAAAAATTGTTAATAAACGAAGAAGAAATCGTCTTCTCGGTTCCTTCGGTCCCATCGTCAGTCTCCCCTCAAACCCCGGTTTAAATTCCGTGAGAAATCGCAGACCGATTATTTTATTCTTCGATGCAAAAAGGTCGTTACCGATCGATTCGAATTACTTTTTATTATTCATACTATTGATCTTTCACGGTCACGACACAACACGTGTCAGATGAAAGAAAACGATAAACGTGAACTGTGTTGAAATAATGGTAGCTTCACGAGTAACTTTTATTCGTATCTGGATACGACGATCTCGTTTCAAACATGTTTACGATAAATCAAAGCAATTACCAACGAAACGTTCGAAGATGAATGCATAATACGTGAGCATCGTTTTATTGAAGAAAAAAGAAATGAAATCGTTATCACAGAAAAGTTGAGTAACAAAGGGATCTAACAACGATTACTATCCTTCTTTCTAATTACTTTGCCAGCTCTACGTCATATGGATTATGATTTTTCTTATGTTTTGCTTGAAACTTAATCGTACGAGAAGTAATATCGAAATTTTTCATCAATAATTATACCGAAAGATTTTTTATTATCACGTCGAACGTGTAAAGAAAGTAGTTTCTAACGCGATTAACGAAACATCTTGCGTGAACGCACAATGTCCATAAAGTGATAGATATTTAGCTATCCAGTAATATAATAATATCACATGCAATTTAAATAGGATTGTCAGACACGTATCTATGCAGACAGTGTTCCTATTCTTAACGATGCTGCGTGTATGATAAACACGATACGAGGTAATCACTTGATACGTGCACATGCACATACGAGTACATATGTATTATATAATAATACTATTTCAACCCTTTCAGAAAGGAAGAAAAAAATAAGGAAGTTAACCGCATGAAAAAACGCAAATACTATCCATTACTATCGATACTTGGTGTTTAAGTACATGCAAGAAAGTCATTGCTATTTACGAATATCTACATATACACATATGTATATGTTGGACTGGTTTCCTAAGATTTCTATATCGATGAAGATCTCTTGCAATGCCAAGAAAAGCTACGATAATTCGTTTGATAATTCCCTACTAACGTAAAACTACATTCTCCTGGTGTTTCTTCTGGACAGTTAATAAACACTATAATAGAGGGTAGATGTAGATAATTCGGATGATTGCACGATATTGACGATAAATTGTTCTAAGTACTACTCGTTTGTTAGCGAATTGTTCCATCATTCCAGAAGTTGTAAAGCTTAAATAAAAGAGCAGTCGAAGAAAGATAAAGCGGAAATGCGGGGAAAGAAGAGACTGTTAATCGAAAGGAAAAGCGAAAACGAAATCTGCCGCGTTTTCTATACGTATGTATATCACAGTTACAACACAACACAACACAACAAATGCGAAAGGAAATCCTTTTTTTCTTTCTCCATTGTAAAAGAGTAAACTCGTTTCAAATTTTCAATGTACTCGCGATTAAAATTCACTTAATCGTGTTTAGAGACGAAGAGGAAACTGTTGCATTAAGGAAAAAGAAAAAGAAAAAATATGAGAGAGCTTGCGAAGAAATATAAATGCTCTTTCGAGTTGAAAATCAAGTCCTAATATAAACGACTGATATACACGGAGACGATGCTCGACATGGTCCTCGATGATAATTATTATTATATAAAGCGCTATGTAAAAGCGAATTAACAGTCTGTATGTGTATCTTACTTTTAGCAAGACTGGATAGTGGTCGATAGTAATCGTCTACTTTTTCTCTAATCGGTTGTCTTTGCGATCAAGTATTTCATCTTCAACAGTTATAACTTCGGCGATACAAGTATTTCATTATCCATAAGTTTCTCTCTCATCTTTAGGAGAAGAATAACTTTAGAAAAGAACAAGAGAGAAACGTGTAATCTTTTAATCAATGTATTATATAAAACTTTTCTGTACAGAAGCAAGATTGACGGCAAAGACAACTTTCTCGCTAACTTTTTACTCTAAAATGTCTTGCCCAAGATCGAATATAGAGAATAAAATCAACACATCTATCCCCCATTTATGGGATATTATCAACTAGATACGATTTTCAGCTTAAGATGGAAGTTGACGGATATATACCTACACGGATGATTATAATTAAAGCTTCGCCAACCAAGCTTTTGATAATACAGGCCGGTCAGATTTCACCTTATCAGATTATACGAAGAAAAAATTAGACCTCCTTCGAAAAGCAATTAAAGTGTGTTACACCTTGGACGCTAAAGATTTCGCTTCAATGCAGCGTACCTTGTTGATCGTTGTGCGAATATTATACCTGTAGTTTCATAGGAATACGGAAATAATCACCGTTTTTTAAAGCGATCTTTCTTTGAATCTACAGCTTGCCGAACCGAGCGTGATATTTCAAATGAAAAACGACTTTCATACAATGGTGCCGCGTCGAAGAAACGTTCAAACGCTTGAGCTAGGTATGTTAGTTATCCTGTTCGATACAGTTTACTCAAAATCGAGTAAGAGAAAATGCTGAACAAATTTGCCTATCAACGTATGTATATATATTACGTAGGAATATTGTTATGTGTGTCTCGCTTACGCACGTTAAAATTTATATATATATATATGTACACACACATCCACATACACACACACACACACACACACGTATGTGGACCTATATAATGTCATTATAATTTCAGTGTTACCATTAAATGTAATTGTGCTGTGCGTAAACGTTACGCCAGAGCACGCTTTTGTATAGCGAGTATGCGTTAGGAAAATTCTCTTTTTTGCTTTTTCTTTCTTTAAACAAAGATTTATGTGTTAGTATAGTGGACATTGTTTTGCCTTGTATATATCTAATACGTCTATGTGGTACGTATCTATACCGTTCAAAGGCGGTTAATACACCACATTTTCATTTGACAAAGTTAGAAAAAAAAGCTCACCCGATTTTTGCGTTCAAGATTGCTATCGCATCTGAGTCTTCTTTTTTTTTTCTTTTCTCGAGATGTATTCAACTATCTGACACACATCTTGGGTCGTACATTGAAGGAAGGCCACATTGAACTAGTCTAAGAAATTACTTGCCTAACACTCTGAACAAATATATCGGTTAAATTTAGCTTATAATAATAGTAATAATAATAATCTATCCTATAACACATACGCAAAACGAATAATAGTTGGAGATTCTTGCGAACGTTTTTTTTTTTTTACTTTTTTTCTTTTTATATATTTATCAGTAAAGTCTCTCTGAGCAATCTTATTCTTCGTTCTCCCTTCACGAGTCTCGGATCCTCAATTAATCTTTAAAGGGATTATCTTTGGCATTATGAACCACGCAAGAGAAATATATAACATGTTCATTGAAAAGGAACAAACCGTCTATGTGTATGTTCCTTTCGTTTGTAGTCTTTGTTTAGCAAAGAACAAGCAAAATATTACTTGATTAATGCGATACAGACGATGATAAGACGATTGGATCACAAGTATTTGGATACCAGAACCGACACCCCAACACTGTACTATTAGTAGAGATAAAAATATGTACAGTAGAAAACTATGGAGTCACTATTAACTTGTAAAAAGTAGACACGCATACGATTTTTTCCTATTTCGGCGCGAATACGCGTACTTTTTTTTTTTTGTTTTTTTTTTGTGGTTTTTTGTTGCTTTTTTTTTCATTATCTTTCTTTCCTTTCCTTTCCATAACGATGCTTTGATATCTCGCGAGATTATTAAGTGGGCGGCATCTTTTGTTTTAGCGATAAAATTATGAGAAACGCCAGCGTAAGCTTCTCTGGAAACGTAACGCGAAATACGTACAAGTAAAAAGCTACTGGACTCGATTTTTATGTTTTGTCACAGAAAATCGAGAAGCGATTTTCAAAATCTTGCTAGGTACAATTTGAATAATCGCCGGCGTTGCTTCCTACCTGACTTTCATTGCGTTTTATCACAAGGACTGGATCTTTAGACGATTCAACGACTTTTTTTTCTATATCCAAATCATAGAGTAACGTGGCTTGTAATGCGTTATACATACCCGTTCTTGCGTATCGAGAGGCCTTCGTTAGTTCATAGACACTGGCAGCCAGAGTTAATATATCTGTAAACAGTGGAATAATATCAATTATACTGCATCGATGTTACAAGACGAACCGAAGAATATTAAATAACATACCATTGTCGTTGTATACAAGAATGCACGGGGGATTTTCTTTCTGTCTTTTGGTAGCATTTGCGATCTCTCGTTTACGGCATTCTTGGACAAATTTGATTGCTTCCAACCAATACTCCATAGCCTTATGTACGCGTTGATTCATTGTGGTCCCTCGTAAACGTTCCATCTATTAGAAGAAGAAGAAGAAAAATAAAAAGAAGATCAAAATCAATATAATAATTGATTTTTTCTTATTTGACATACTTTACCTTTGCGATCAAAGTTATGACGCGTGCATGTTCACGTAAATAGTCAATAATTAGACGATCTACGCGCGATGGATTCCCTTGGAGGCGAGGAATGGGTATGTTGTTTGCACTTGTTACTCTTTTACCAGGGAAATGGGCAGCTAATCCAGCTTCGCATTTCTTTCGTTCTTTTTCCAACTGCTTAAATTGTTCGTAAGTTTGCTCCAATCTAAAGTGTAATATACTTGAAGGAGCTGTACGTCTAGCTGCTCCACTTCCGTTTCTAAGTCCTAAACCTCCGCCGTAGAGTACAGAAAATAAACGTGGAACTGGAAGCGGTACAGGAACTGGCATTACTGGCGGGAATACACCAGATCTTACTGTACTTGGATTCGGTACTACTCCTGAATTGAAGAGGACATCGGCTGATGGTATACCATGGCTATTCTGTATTCTTGGCATATGATGTCGTTGTTTCATAAGATAGTTGAAAGTATCCTTGTTCATTGAAGAGCCTGCTGCGATTTGATTGGTCAAATGACTGACAGAAGGAAACGAAGCTATCTCTTTGGTAAGATCAAATCCTTCCATTTTATAGGTATTAGTATTCGTATTAGGCTGTTTCAAATCATGATACGATGTGGAACTCTGTGGTAGCATTTTTAAAGTCTCGCCGTTGTTGGCAGTGTATTGTTGATAATTATGATATCCATATTTTGCAATTGACTGATGCGTGTGACGCGAACTTAGATTTTTTGGAAACCCAATTGGCGAATACGTCTTAGTCTCGATAGTCTTTGATTTTGGACTAATAATTTTTAATAAGTTATTATCGATTCTATAATCGTTATTCGAAAGACAATTTTCGTTTGTGTCTAAACCATTGATCGATGGTGGGGTGAAGTCGCTTACTCCTGGATAATAGTCGATCAACTGCTTGTATTCTTGGTCCACAGCTTGATTCAATTTGTAGCTACGAGCTTGTTGTTGCAAAAATTGAAGTTGTTCGTTTGGTATTGAGATATTTCCCATACTTAATCTACTTGAATCGTGTAAATCTTTATAATCACCGGCGTTACTGCGCTGCTGTATATTATTCCCAAAACAATTATGCAAATTCGTATCGGCTGGAGAAAAATGTTGTAACGGAGAATTTGAAAGAAACCCAGAGTCGATACTTAAATCAGTCATTGCCGAACTTGGTCTGTAGTTTTGATTATTGGCAGTCATACTATATAATTCGTGCATAGAAGGTGTAGGATTATTGTATGCGTTGGTAGTTCCATTTTGTCCAATATTATGGTGATACTCTATTTCATTAAGAGTAACTGGATCGGGAGAATCTAATGCCAATGTTAAAGCCATGTTAAAATTAAGGTCTGGGTTTGTGCAGTTTTCAATTCTTTGATAATTTCCAAATAAATCTGATGTACATCCTGATGCTGACAAATTTTCTGACCAGTTAGTAGCCTGTTTATTTGAATTTCTCACGTTTGTTGTCGTTAACAAATCATTGCACAAAGGCATACCGGTACTTCCGTTTATACAACAAGTATCGTCGCTTGGACGTAATATGTATGACTGTGAATCGGATGAATACGTATTTGAATACGCGCTAACCCCGTTACTATACAAATTTCCTTCGTCCAGTACTTGTCCTGCGCATCGGTTCAGACTCAATGTTTTAATTTCTTCGCAAAGATTGTTGTAATTACATTCAAGTTTAGCATTATTAGAAATATTGTTGTGCAATTTGTTAAATGTAGTATGAATATTAAAGTGATTTATGTTTGTAAGATTTGGGTCTGTTTTATTTTCCATTTTATTCTCCACGATACAACATTGACTATCCGAATGATATTGAATATTTCCGCTATAGCTACTATTCTGAGCATTGTCACTGACAACTGAATCATCGTCAAGAATTTTTGACACTAAATCATTCACCATAGGATTGTTTAAATCCTGACTATCTTCATCTTCTACATTCATCTGTATATAAATAAATTATTAAAAAGATTAAATCAATACTTGCTATTAATTATATTTCTTACTTTTAACTACTATGTTCTCTTATTTTGGTAAAACATATTGAAATTATTAACCCAAATACATACATTATGTACATTTCATTTTTATTCTCTAATTATTCGCTATTAATAACTCTAACATAATACCACTTAAAAATTGATCATATTTTACAAATGAAAATATTTGAAAATAAAAACTGATAGTAAATGTAAGATATTATTGTAAAATAAGATATTAATAGTACAGTATAGTATTTATAATATACCATAATCACAATATTGTTAAATATTGTATAAAGAAAATAATTGCACCCATATAATATGTAAAAAAAACAATTGTTAGCATAAGTTCCTTACATTTTTTTGTGTATTACACTCCATTAAGTCATAGTTCCAATAATTATATTCTGCGTTACATCTGTCAGCTGGATAATTGTTTCGTGGTTCCAACATGTTGATATTGCATTCAATCACGTTATTCTATAAAGAAAAAATAGTTTATTTTTTATTTAAATATTTATTTCAAATATTTATTCATTCTATTCAAATTTTGTTATTGTACAGTACATACTATATGATTGATACAAACACACAGAATATACATCAACTTATTGAAAATTTCATATTTTTAAGGTGCTATGTCACGAACGAATTACCATGAATATATCAAGTTAAAATAATTATTCAAATGTAAATATTTGTTATAATAAAACTACTTTTTCTTTTATCGTCTGATCTCAGAACCAACAATTTTAAACTGAAACTTGTTATAAGTACAATTACGGTATTATACATATACATATATGTATGTATATACATCAGCAATGAACTAAAATCGAACTGTTTCTACTAATCAAATTACTGAACAATGAAAATCCAAAGTATAATATTTCTGTTAAATATTCAGCTCCTATTTCTTCTTATTGTACAGTAAATAACAGCTATTAAACAATTTAAAATACGTATTTCCTTGCACGTTGTGTTGGGTCAGTAGCGTTGTACTTTGCAGTAAAAGAAAATGAACGTTACTTTTTCGGTAATAAAGTCACAGACGCGGTCGCTTACCTTGCTAACAGTAAAACCATTGTTGGTGATAATCGCAGCCAAATTGTGCACTTCGGACAGAGCCATTTGTTAAAAGATCACTTTAAATCACTTCCACTCCTACCCATCACCCTTTCACTTGTGCGGCTGTCTCCCAGCAATATGCACACCCACACCAACTTCAAACGTAGCTCGCTAGCATCTCACGGTGCTACTATGGGAGAACAGAATATAGATGGAACTATAGTTATATTATACCACATATATATATATTTATATATATATATATATACGTGTGTATGTGTGCATACATGAATATTACTGTATGCACCTTGTAATACGTTGAATAACTATATGTATAAATAAATGCGTTAAACACGAGTGGTATATGTCAAATGTATATTTTCGAACAACTTTTTTAAACTTTTATATTGTATGTATTTTATTAAGGCACTAAAAACAACATACATACAAGTGAAAATTATGTTTTCTTTTCCCTAGGAAACCATTTTATTACTAAACATTTTAAGCGCATGCGCGACTGTGGGAATATTCGAATTCTTCGACGTTATTTTGCTACATAGAGAAAAGCCATTTTAATTCTGAAAAGCAACAAGCTGTAAACGAATATACAGACATCGGATATGTATTGTATGTGCACTTTATTACATATAAGTAATACATTCCTTCTAACATTAATTACATTATAAAATATAAAATAAATAATACAAGATTTATATAAAGAAAATATAAATTACAGACTTCTTTTATAATACTACTGGATCTGTTTGAACAGTTTTATTTTCTACTTCGGTATCTTTACTCAACGAGCCATATTTATTTGCAATATTAACAATTTCTCGTAACGTAGCATTTTCTTCCTTTAAACTATAATACATCTCTTTTTCTTTTAATTCGTTTTCCTCATCTAAGGAAACAGCAGTTTTCATAATTGCTGCCATTTCATTAATTTTCTCTGCTTGACTTGTAATTATCTATAATTTTATGTGTAAATTAGTTAACTAAATACTGATTTCAATAAATTAATTTTAATAATAGTATGCCTCTTTATACTTACATTGGCATATTTTGCATTATGCGTTGAAGGAATATCTGTTTTGCACAAACGTAGTAAACAGGCTGTTTGTTGCCTATATTTGGACATTATTAATTCAAGAGTATGTTGATAATCTTCTAATACATTCTTTAATTCCTTATTTTCTGCCTGTATTTCTTGAAAATGTTTATTCTCTATTTGTATTCCAGAAATCAATTGCAAATGTGGTTTTTGTTTAGCTTCAGCATTCAAGATTTCTACTTCTTCTTTATACTATAAAGAAACAATACAAAAAGAAAGAAAAAAAGGAAAAAAGAAAAATAAGTCAATCAACTCAACAAGGAAGAAACAAATGTAAAAACTCAGAAAACCCTTTTGATATTCAATTTGAACATTAAGAGATAAAAATATTAAACAAATTATTTACCTCCTTCATATTATCAATTTGACCGCAAACAGATTCTATTTCAATTATTAAATCATCCGCTGTATTTTCATGATCTGAGATTCTAGTCACTAACTTTTCAGCATCCAATATAATTTGTTGGAAAGTTAATGACATCTGTAAAAGTGTACATGCATTAATAACAAACTCAATTATAAAATAATGTAAGTTTTATATATATATATATATACATATATAGAAAGAGAGAGAGAGAGAGTATGTCATACAGTATGTAAATGAACTGTACGATAGAGTAATTTACACAAAAATTTAATTTAACTATTTCACACATTTAGCAGAAACTTGGTAAGTAAGTCTTGTTTAAACGTATTTATAAAAATTAAATCTAGAAATCATTAAAGATTAATAAGTATGACATAGGTTATATTCACATGAAAGCTGTCAAATGAGTATTTTATAATATTATCGATGATAATATTTTAGCACTTACTTTTTGCAGATAATGAATTGTTTACAGTATAAATAATGAAATTTTATTTGTTAATCCATCCAATTTTATATGTATAACGAACATATAAGATTTTTTACTTGTGTATACGAATGCTTTGTTTATTTTCGATCAGATCTATAACCCCATTGGTCTACAGTTCTCGTTACAAGAGAATAGATTCATTGGAAGACTAACGATAAGTTTAGAGATACATACCCAGTGACTATCAATAATAAAATCTATTCTATACTTGGTCAGTGACAAAATTAAAGAACTAATCTTTATCTACAGTCGGTATGAAAAATTTCTAACCATTAGGATTATACAGAATCGTTAAATCAGGAATCTATAAATAACCATCGGTAAAACTGGACTCTGCCACAGTTGGATAACAACGAGGAAAGTTTCCTAATTGATCAGTTTGCGCCTTGCGCTTGACAATAAAGGAGGGAAGAGGTTCAATGCATTTTTACTACTAATGTAGATGTTATTGCTGTAAATTTTGGTTGAAAATTGGTAATGCAAAATTAAAGACTTACCAGTTATAAATTAAAACGTGAACAGAAGACTATTTCTATATTCTGTAAATGTAATTTTCAGTGTATATTCTATTTGTCAGTTGTCCTGATGAATGATTATTGATAATTACTACATTTATTTTATTATACATGTTATAAATTGTCAACTTCCATTGCAGGATTTTCATAAAATTGTTTTGCTCTTTTCTTTTCTTTATTTTCTTCTGCCCAACGTTGTTTTTCACCAGATGCAAATAAACCATATATGACAGCTCCTATTAAATAAATTACGCTGGTAATTATGAAGATTACACGCCATTCACTAGTGCTCTATAAAATACAATTAAATTATATCATATTATATTACATTAAATTTGGTTTTTGAATAAAATATAGCATAGATTTATACCTTGTTTCGAACAATATATCCTGTAATAAGTGGACTAACAACACCAGGTAAAGTAGCAATAGTGTTTCCTATTCCCATAAGTACACTTGCATGCTGAGGAGCAATATCTAAATGATTTACTCTAAAATAAAATAAAATAAATTCATTTTTATGCTTTTGAAATATGCACTACCAGCTTTGTACAATTGAATATTGATAATAAATAAAAGAAAATTACCCAAAACCGGACCAAGCAAAACCGCCAAGACCGATACCAAATGTAATACAAGTAACTACTCCTGCCGGCGTTAAAATGAAGGCAGCACATAACATGAATATTGTTTGAAATGCAAACGCTCCACAATTAAATAATTTGCGGACCTAAAAGAAAAAGTGTATTATCTAATACTTTATGCACATAATTTATTCAGTGTACAAACGTTAATATAATAAATTGTATTCATTTACTTTAATTTCCTAAAATTTTCTAAAGCTGTTTAGAAATACTTATACAACAAACCTGTGTGGTTGTCAAAATTTTCTTCGTTCTTAAGTAATCTGCCAAGTATCCAGAAAACTGGACGGCAATTGTCATAGCTAGATACGGTAACGCGGATAAATATCCGGTTTTATCCAACTTGAAGTTGAGTACATCTATTGTAAGTAAGAATGAATTACTCATTGTCAGATACAACTTGCATGTACGTATTATGTATACTTAAGTACGTATGTACCTCGGGAAAATACTCGTTAAGTATGTTGTTAGACTAACCATTCATAAATGTTGGTAGTTGAGTGAGCATAGTATAAAAGCCCCAGTTTTCACTAAAGTGGGCTGCAATAATGGCCCAAACAGGTGGAGATGTAAGCATAGATTTCCATGGATGTGTGATTTTCTGTGAAGTCTAAAGTCACCATAAATAATTTGTTAATTTATGTTACCTTCAATGCAATTTGTCCTAAATGAACTTACCCCCTCTGTTTTTGAAGCTCCGAGGCTACACATAATGTATTCCAGTTCAGCTTTGGAAATATGCGGATCTTCTTCCGGTTTATCCTTTACGATAATCCACCAGAGAAAGAACCACACTAGACCCACTCCTCCAAAAACGTAAAAAACAGATTCCCAGCCAAGGTATTCAACCATTAAACCAGCAACGGGCATGGCAAATACGGTTCCGAAGAAACTTCCGGAGAATGCGAAGGTCGCTAGTTTCGACCTTTCCAATGGAGGCGCCCAATGTGACCATATTGCGTGTATGCAAGGATATGTTACACCCTAATAAGTTATCTACTGCTATTTTATTCTTCTTACGTAAAAATAATTTTAAATAAATAAAATATAATTTGATTAATTATTAGTATAACATACCTCACAGATTCCTTCTACTATCCTTAAAGCAAGAAAAATATTATAGCTTATTTTGGCAAGTGGTGGTGTGATGATTGTAAGAAAGGCTGTAATCGCAATTCCAATACCGAAAACTCTTTTACCACCGATACGTGCTCCAAGCCATCCTCCAAATAATTGTGTGCATATATATCCGTAAAAAAAGGAACTTAGAAGTACTCCTTGCATTTGCGAATCCCAGTCGAATTCTTTTTCCTGTAAATAATAAATTTCAGTACTTTCTCGTATATTAACACCTCTTCATCGTTAAAATCGATTTTAGATACAACTACTACACGAGTTGACTTTCTTATCCGAAAGAGGATATCATCATCGTCGTTATCATTATTATTATTATCAAATAATTTAGTTCGTCTCTTGATAAAGAACTATTATAATCTTGATCTGATTTCAAAAGTACATATGTATATTAATTATCACAAATGCTAGAAAAAGTCTTTTACTAATTGTAAGTAAAATTCCTTCGCTTACGTAATAAACGTTTCCGTTTTCATCGACTTTCCGAACTTCCGCTTTTACCATTGCAACAATAGCTACGCTTAAATTAACTCGAAGAATATAGGAAGTGAAAAATCCTAAAAACGCTAATGCACCAACTACGTGTCGTCGTTTCTTCCAAAACCTCCAGGATGATGCCATTTCATCCTCGTATTTGACCCTATTGCGAAAATTAAAGAATAATTCAAATAATATCAATGATAATTATCAGAAAGTTAAATTGAAATACGATGTTATAAATCCTTATAGGAAAAGTGCAACACTCACGTTCCGTATTCGGTGTCCTTGGCTGACTCGACCGAGGATTTCCTTCCCTTCATCGTTTCCTGAAAGGTCACTAATTTCAATTACAGACTCAGAGAAATCTACTTTGCGAACTCGTCAAATAGTTATGAAATTCAAATTACGCACGGAATTATTGTCGAAAAGCTTACTTACTTGTAGCTTATTGTTAGAATCACCAGTGTATAATAATTTTATATTATTCGGTTACATTTATTATAAAAATTTATCGTATTCTGAGCATATTATTTACGAGTAACGATACCGGAGAAGGAATCTAGCAGCAGCAGCAGTGACCTAATAATACTACGAAAGTAGAAAGTACTGAATGTATGTACTTTAAGCAGACTCCAATGTACTCACATAAAATAACAGCAATCGATTTATACAGCATTAAAAAAAGTATATTATTCGCAATTTTAAATTTATTCTTCTCGTTCAATAGGTAGAGGGCAACACAAACTACACTGACAGAGTTACAAATTTGTTGACTTTATTCCTTTCGTACTTTTATCCAAGATATTCTTTAACTAACTTTTATAATATAAAAATTATTAATCTTTCCTAATACCTCGTCTGAAGAAGAAATTAGTTTCTCGAGAATACTGGTATCCATAGGGAATTTAACAATATTTTCTCTACGCGACAAGCAACACTTGTCTATTATACGTGCACTTAACGCGATTAACCCGGCGCTTAAAATTCTTCAACGTGCTGATATAAACAATGATCTCGTAAATTCTTTTTACTACCACGGACCTGTCATAAATTAGAGCAGTTAAAAGAGCGTAACTTTTCTTATTTTCTACAAGTGGAATCGTTAACAGCGTTCACAGTTTATTTTAAACACCTGTTCCGTTATTCCGACGATGAGACGTTCGACGAGATTCGCAAGATTCGCTTGCGGCAACGAAGAATTTTGTAAACTGTCAACACGTTTCGCGACTTTCTAATTGAGCGATCTAAGAAAAGAAAGTTGACAAAGTTCATTGGATCGATATTTTTTAAATACGTAAGTAAGTATGCCGCCATTTAAAATCAGTTTTGAAACTATTGTCGTTACACTTGTCAATTATTTTATTCATTCTTTAGAACTGTACACCGGACTGACTGTGATAAATGTGAAAATTATTGGAATTAGTAGTTAACTTTGATTTTAAGCTGACCAGGTATACATAAGTAGTCGGGCCATGTGGTACTGTTGACAGAAAGAGTAGATAAGCGAAAGTCACTTGTCAACGTGTGACGTATATGTATAGCACTTATAGTTTTTCCCGAATACAATCACATTTTATCTCTCGAAACAAAGGAATTTTCTTTCGGATAATATCAAATTGCCTTATCATGCCAAACAGAATAAAATGATTATATTTATTGAGCTTATTAATCGTGTAAGCGCATTAAAATTGTATCAGCAAATAAATAACGATTCCGACAATACAGATAGATAGTTAACAACGAAATTAAATTTCGGTAAATCAATAAAAAATTAAACATTTTTTAAATCAATGTTGATTCGCTTGCTAATATACTATTTATAAATCTTCTTTTGTGTTAAAATACGCAGGTAGACACGATGAAAGGAAAATCGAGCAGAAATTACAATAAAATTTGATGCGTCCGAGTTCGTTCCACCGCATGTGATTACAGTTGCATATATGCAAGTCGCGTAATCGGAAGTTGCTTTAGCGATTTGTTCAATCTGTCGATAACGAAAGAACGAGAAACTTTAAAAATTATTTACGAACCAAGGTCAGTCATTTGACGAATTCAGACGGTACAGTTAATGATTTTTCTTTGATAACAAGTGCTATTATTTTTAATGTTACACTTTTTTCTGATGTGCTATTTAAAAGGCTACTAGATGTTACAGGTTGTCAATGCGATTTTGCAACTAAATATACAAAAAGTACTTGAATTTTTATCATTAATAATGCATTACAATTCATATAGAAAATTTCAAGGAAATCCAGTTGATAAAAGAAAGCAATATCACAAGGAATTTCATTTATGAAAAAAAAATCAATGCCATTCGATCTAGAATCAAATTTGCATTCATTCGGAGTCTTATTAACATACAATGTACTACTGTAATATTTCAATAGCTAATTTATTTAAATATCTAAAGTATAATTCGAAAAAATAAAATTTTGATATTCACTTACAATTGTTAATCTTTTCGATGAAATTCATTAGTGTCACAGAACTGTATATGTTGTCGCGTTATTAAATTTACTAAAAATATTCACGATAATAAAGTTAAGTTGTTATACGTGAAAATTATTATATTGTAAAAATATAAAAAATAGAAACATCTGAAACAGTTGGAAGTTCGAAAGGAACGACCGAAGAGCGACTGATCGCAATACACGAGTAAGTACTGCTGTACATGCAGGTAGAAGTTGAGCCATATAGGTGACGGGAAATTGTTCTTTGTAAAGCACCAATCAGAGTACTCTGTTGTTCTTGTCGTGGCTCGAATATTATGCAATACCAGTACCATGCAATAATTTATAAATATTTTCGTTTGATCGTGTTCGATTGATCGTGTTACCATTGTTATAAAATTTATTACACCCTATAAAGTGGTTTGTTATACATATATGTATGTACGTATATCATAAAATCTTTTGCATACGCATTTGTAATAATGTTTTTACTAATAATACTTTTATGTAAGACTTGACTTTTTCAAAAATAGATAAGTGAAAATTGTAAAACATTTGAAATAAATCAATTGTTTTGATAGAAATATAGGATATATGTATGATCATTGTAATTAAGTTGTTTAAATTGACAAAAGTGGTCAATTGTCAGTTGATTCAAAGGAATAATAAAGCACCTGTAAGTTAAAAAACACAGGGGTATGTATGTATACCGCAGTTCACCGGAGTCCATAACTGCGACGCGCAGGTTGGAAGATGGTGGGGGAACGCAGCGAGCTCTCCGCCAATCGCGTTCCACTTCGTTTGGGAGTATCGCCAATCAGGGCGAAGATGCGCACTGGAGAAGCGCGAAGAACGAAAACTGGTCTTTTCGCAGTTATGGACTCTGGTGAACTGCGGTATACATACAATGCACGTGGTCATATGCATAACGCATTCACCCAAGTTTACTTGATGTGAAGCTGTATGCCATCTAGCGTAAAAAATAGGTAATACCCTACTAAAAAATGTAAAATATAGGGTATCAATATGTGCTGAATTTGACATAAGAAGACATTTAACGGGTCATCTTTTTTTTTATATTAATTGTTTTTAGCCGAAATAACATACATTTTGTACGTATTATTTATGTATGTGCTACTCAAGTATTGCGATTCATAAAAATTCACGCTTTCCTCGATCATCGCGCTATCTTCAAGATTCATATTAATCAGCTGTGTTGCTATTATCATGATATTGTTAATATTCTTGTAGAGTGAAATAACAACACTGTATTCGTCGTTTATAAAAATAATGAAATCTTTGCTCTACGAGCAATGACCAATGCTGTTCTTCCAAGTCAAAGGTGGTCGGTATTTTGGTATTGTATACGTCAAGTATCATTATTCATTTCTTTGTTTTCTTCCTTCTTTTTTTATACATGTACATTTATGTATAAAAGCTTAACCTTATTCCAACCACCGTTTCTTTTTATATATTACGTAAATATATATATCGAAAGGACTGTACTTTCTTTTTTTCATATTTATAGCACAACAAAACAATTCATCTTTATGATATACTGAAGGACTTGAAACAACATATATAGATAGTATTTAGAAAATCTATGAAAATGGATAGCCTTTTCACACAGAATATTTCAGACGAACCAGAGGATATACCGCAAACAGATGAACCGGTTTGGATTCTTGGAAAAAAATACAGTGCCATAAAAGGTTTACTGAAGAATTACAATGAAAAGATGTTTAATAAATTGGGTGTGTAAGATCTTGAATTTCAGAACTCGACGCAATTCGTAGGGATATAAGGTCCAAATTGTGGTTTACTTATCGTAAGGGTTTTGTACCAATCGGTGGTTACACGTCCACATTTACATCTGATAAAGGTTGGGGCTGTATGTTAAGATGCGGACAGATGGTCCTTGGACACGCTTTAATTATATTACATTTAGGTACATTTGTGTTCTGTTTAATTTTGCAGTCATCATAAGTATTACAGTTCTAATTTAATAACACACATGTATAAAAATAGGTAGAGATTGGCAATGGACACCAGAAACTAGAAATAGTACGTACCTGAAAATTTTGGAACGTTTTGAAGACAGAAGAACTGCCCCTTTTTCTATTCATCAAATTGCATCAATGGGAGCTTCTGAAGGAAAAGAAGTTGGACAATGGTTTGGTCCTAATACGATAGCACAAGTATTAAAGTACATATTTTTTTTTTATATATTTCAATTGCTTTCAACTGTAAAACTTAATGTATCATTAAATCATAATTTGCAGAAAATTAGTTATATACGATGAATGGAGTTCAATCACAATACACGTTGCTCTGGACAATACATTAATAGTTAATGATATTTGTAGGTATTATTGTTCCTATATTTTATTTTATTTTATTATATTTATCTTTATAATATAGTTATCTGAATTAAAACACACTGTTTAATTAAATATTTATAGTAAGGCAATGTAGAGTAGAAGGAGGTACAACAGCAGAAGCAGATGGTAATATACCATTAAAAGCACCTAGTCAATGGAAGCCTTTATTACTTTTAATACCTCTTCGTCTTGGATTAAGCGAAATTAATCCTATCTACATTAATGGGCTTAAAGTAATAAAGAAATAAATGTTCTTGCATGAATGGCTAAACATGGATTCAAGTATGAATGAAGTTAAGGATAATCTTTTCGTACCTGTAATTTTTCAGAATTCGTTCAAAATCCCACAATCTCTAGGAGTGATAGGAGGAAAACCCAATCTCGCGCTATATTTCATAGGATGTGTTGGTATGTTTAATTCATCGAGTCTTCGGCATCTTTTAATTTGATTATAAATAATTTCAAATAGATTAAAACGTATTTATAATTCATTTACTTATAGGAAATGAAGTAATCTACTTGGATCCTCATACAACGCAAAGATCAGGTAGTGTTGATAAAAAAGTGGAAGAAGATGAGATCGAAATGGATGCTACTTATCATTGTAAATTTGCTAGTCGTATTCCTATTACAGGAATGGATCCCTCTGTAGCACTTGTTAGTAAAAAATTAAACTCGTAGATTCAAAATTTATATTACTAATGTGAAATACATTTTCATGGTGTAAATAACTTACTTCATTTCAGTGTTTCTTCTGTGCAACTGAAAAAGACTTTAAAACTTTATGTAAAATTATTCAAGAAGAATTGATAACTCCTGAAAAGCAACCTTTGCTTGAATTATGTGCAGAAAGACTGGCACATTGGTCACCAGCCGAAGATGTTGCTGCATCAGAAGCAATAGCAGCTCCAAGTTGTAAGTTCCTGTACATTAATATAATTTATATAACATTTTTTCTATAACTTTTCTCTTACTATATAAATTATTTCTCCACTTATCATTTATTTTATAACTGTTTATTATTAAATTTAATACATCAGAGTTATTGTCTCTTTGTTTTAATAATATTTTTTATAGTTGTAGATTTCGAACACATTGATCCACAGTATGATACATCTGATGAAGATTTTGAATTATTAGGTTGACATTTAATCATTAATTAACAACAGTCTGCGATATAAATAATATGTACATAATATCGAGAATGGTCCATTCGTACATAAAATACAATTATTCATTCAATATATACATATATATTTTATATTATACATTTATAAAATATACATGTGTATATACAAATTTGACTTAAACTAGTACTATTTCAGTACTAGCAGTTGAATAATAAAATAATTTATACCAAATAATTCAAATATTGTATATATTACTTATATTTAAATTTTTTGGACATGAGTGATCTATGCGTTATACATATATGTTGTTAATTCAGTATCCATATACTTTTAATCTGAATGACCATAAAAATAGTCAAAAACTTTAAAGTTCAAGCTATAAGGAAATATTAGCTTTTATATGTATTTGTATACATACATATAATGCAGTATATCTTTATTTTTGTATATTAACTAAATTAATATAAACGTAATATTTATGCATTTACAGGTAGTTAGATATTTATATTGTCGTTTATTATTTACTGATGGCAAAATAAGTTGAAAATCAAGATTACTCGCGTCCTTAAAATGCCTTTGCCTTGTGTAATGAATAATATGTACGAAAATTTTAATATGCACCGATACATATAATTTCTACTGTGTTAAGATAATAGGATCAAATTCAAGAGTGTAAAAATTTAAATTAACTTTCATATGCTATATAATTTAAAACGCGACGGTTATTTGTGACATTACAATATTTGCACGTTTTAAATATTAATGCCTACAATTAAAGCGAACGTTATCATTAAAAAAGTATAGTTTTGATATTAGTTTATGCCGTGTACTGATTACATTAATAATGATCTAAAATTATACAACTAATTAAATTAATAATATAAATATTCACAAAATAATACTTGTAAAAGTTGCAGAGAATTAATAGCTAAAATTATATTATGAAATATTTAACTATATTTTATGGTTTACGATTTAACGAAATTTAAACATTTTATAAGATAATGAAGAAAAGCTTTTGAGTGATACGGTATTAAATATAAGTTGAATTTACATTCAAGTTGTGATAAGATTTACTGCAATGTAATATAAATATATCTACATTTTTATAATGTTTCTTAAAAAATATACAGCGTTTAAATTTTTTCAAGTACAATGCAACAGCTGACTATTTCTTTTACATTCAGAATAGAAAATACAGAATTAGCAAAAAGCGCCCTCTTGTTTTCATCGGCCAGCCGTGTATCTATGAGTATTACCATTTCTGTGCAGAAAAATCTGCTGTGATACCGACCGGCCAAATCGGAGAGGTCACGTGCCTTTATACATTTGATTGATTAATAATGGATAATGTATATTTAAAAATTCCAAGTACAATAGGCGTTGATTAAAAGTTTTATTCTAGTATGTACGTAATTTTATATACATTACATATATTTAAGTCATTATTATAACAATATATGTATAATGTACACACACGAGTAAACATAAATTATGTATTCATACTCTGCTATTCAAACAGAGAATTCATTTTAACAAGCGTGTTGAAACTGTAATTCTTTTTGATCTTTATGTATAGAAAAGTCACAAATTATAAAGATTATTCAAGATGTGATTTTATAAAATATTGAGTGCAATGTATAGGAACAAATCATGACGATAAATAAGATCAGGACGGTATATAAGATAACAATATACTTTTTTCTAACAGAAAATAGTTGAATGATTGAAACATCTATTTGTACATTCAACAAGAGCACATTTATATCTTTCCAGGTTTATACTTTAGCCGTTAATGTACAATCAATGACTAGAATACCTTTGGAAAAGACTGTAGAAATTCGCTGTACACTTAAAACATTATTGATTCTTTTTGGTCTCTGATATACTGTATTTACGATCTTTTAAATTAATTACAACTACAGTAATATTGTCAGCAGAACCCCTGTGTATATTAAAAATATAAATAAATAAATAAATAAAATATATAATATACAAAAACAGTTAAAAATATTATAATGTACTATTTTACCTGTAGTAACTTTGCAATGTAATACTTTTTGCTCCAAAGTGTGGTTCGTTTATACGTTCTTTAATGAATGCTACTGCTTCTTCGTTTGTAAAAGTATCCCATAAACCATCTGATGCCAGAACAATAAACATCGGATTATGATCGCTAAGATCAAAAGTTAAAATATCTGGATCAGCAATTACGAATTTCTTGTCTTTTAATGGGTAATCTCCTAAAGCTCGAGAAGTGGCTAATATACCAGCAACCCTCCATACACCATTAAATGTTACCAAACCACCAGCCTTATTTATTCGTTTCCTTTCTCTTTCCTGACAGTGATTTTTACAATGATAGATACACTTTAATAATGCACAAAATAAATTACTCTCTATTTTACACACACACAAAAAAAAATATACCTGCTGAGGTTTATGATCAAAAGACAAAGGTATTGCATTGCCTTTTCCATCGCACATAACACCTCTCGAATCTCCAACATTTGCTACAATTAATTTATTGTCTTCTAATAAAGCGATTAACGCAGTTGTACCTACAATATGACAAGTTTGATGAAATTATTTCAAATTACAAGTTAGTAAGTAAGTAAAACGCATTTATTAAAAATAATAATTATTACCAGCTACATCCATATTTTTCTTAGCAGCTTCAACTAATAATCTATCAACTGCCAACACTTCATCTGTTAGTAATCTACCGTAATTTATTTTATTTCCATCAAGATAATTTGTAATATCTACTTTTGTTGGTTTTTCTGTTGTCCTACATGGTCTTACCTTAAAGTTTAAATAAGAAATATGTTTATATATAATATATGTATAATAAGGAATTATACATATGTATACATATATGTATATTTATTATACCTCTCTCGTAATTGGTCTTGACAAACTATCTAATTTGTCAAGTAATTCTGGATCAGTTACCCCAACATTTTTCTTCATGCAATCATCTGTCAACGAAGTGCTTACAGTTTTCCGAAAAGATTTTTTGCGTTCCGGAATTCCTGTATCGTTTTTTTCTTCTTTCTGTTCTGGTTCTTCAATCTTATCCGTGTCTTCCGGTACACGCGGTGCTTTACCAGCTATTAGGTCTTTTAATTCGATTACTTTACGATTAATGTTTGGAATAAGCTTGTCACGTGCATAATTTGCTGCAAACTATGAAGAAACAAAAAAAAGTACAAAACAAAATATTATTTTATATTTCTATATTATAATAAATACATTCAAAATAGTAGCATGTCATTGATATACTATTATTAATATTCTTTGTTGTTGTATTAAATAGTGATTATGATGAATTATCATTTTTTAATATCCAACTAAATGATTACATGCACTTACTCTGTTATAGAAAAAATGTTATGAACAATGTTAATAATACTATTAACATGATAACCATATGAATAACTGCAGGAACATAATGACACGACATTTTGCATAAATCTATATTGATGTACAATACATTCAAAGTAAATGATACATTAACTTTCAAAATAACATAATTATTCAATAAATGCATTACAGGCTTAATAAACACTATTTTTTGTATTCTATGCTTTTATATTATAATTTTATTTTACAACTGTACCATTATAATAAAAAAAAAAAACATGTATTTTACCTTCTCTGTGTGTTTCAAATCTGCAATTTTGGAAGACCATGTAACATCATAAGTTTAACAATTTTAAAACTATAATGTTAAATGAAAAATGAAAACGTTAATGGATAATTAATTAATGTTCTATTATGCTAGAACAAATTATAGGATGTGATTAAACTTACTTCTCCACCATGCCCATCGAATACAGCAAATAATGATACACCCGTGTTATTCATATCTTCATTTACAACAAAACGATCTTCCATACGTGCTCTATGACCTTGAACAGCATATGCAGCAATATAACCCTGTTTTAGCTCCCAGCTAAGTTTTACTCCATTATTTACAGAGTCATTAACCAAGAACTGTAGTTTTGATACCTATTAAATGATCTGTTATGAAAATTATCTTTTCTTTCAATAAAAGACTATTCTATAATTTATTTCTTATGGTAGATACCTTTGATGTGGTACGACCAAGCGTATATTGAATTTTTCCTAATAAAGAGCGACTCCATAGATCAACAGCTTGTATATAAAATAGAACCACTGCCAAAACCACACCGCAAATTAACACTTCTGGCTTCAGGGCATAGGCTCTTATGATTCTCCAAAAATAACCCAAAGGGGTATTTATCCCAGCATTTAATCCAGTGGGAATACCCACTGCAAATTTTGACACCAGCTTCATGTGTGACACGTATGTCTGTTAAACAATCAGAAAAATGCACATTAAAAATTAACTTTAGCCAAGACTATTTTATATATAGACTATTTTTTACCACAAATATACGTGATACAAAAATTACAGACAAAATGTGTATATAATATCTGTAACCCATAATAAATTTGTATTTAAAAAATATACATATAAATCACCTGATACAAAATCCTATCTTCAAGCTCGTCATCCATAATATGATACCAAAAACACTTTGAATAAAATCAGCTTCTTACAAATCCAAATCACTGCAAATAACCGACAATGATTTATCAAATTACCGATGTGATTAAACCCTAAATATGTGTAGAAATTACATTAGTAATATTTAAAAAATCAAGTAAATAAGAAATTAACTTTTATAGCGCTTCTACAGTAGAGAATATTGAATCATAAACGTTACTGCAGTTATATGTTAAACGCACGTCGTAATTTTATATAGAGGCATACATACAGCATTGTTGAGACTGTAATTACATCATTTACTATTAACAGTTCTATTGTACTATAATGCAGTTCTATTTATACCTATATAACACTGAAATGTTATCGGTAAATTTCTTCATTTGTTAAATTGTATATACATTTTTAGTTCTACCTGATACTTGACAATACATCACATAACATAATATAATTTAATAAAATATACACATAATTGAAATTTCTCTAAAAGATGCACCAATTTTGAAGTAACATTTATATTCAACATTTCTCGAAAAATAATTACCGAGTTTCAATTATGTTGCATGTGTTTATAATAAAACGGATTTACAATACAATTGAATGATACGTTGCATATACCACATACACCGGATATACAATAATCGCAGCAACTATTGCAAACTGCATAGGGAGGAGGAGGAGAGTTATCATATACCTACATATACCGCAGTTCACCAGAGTCCATAACTGCGAAAAGACCAGTTTTCGTTCTTTGCGCATCTCCAGTACGCATCTTCGCCCTGATTGGCGATACTCCCAAACGAAGTGGAAAGCGATTAGCAGAGAGCTCGCTGCGTTCCCCCACCATCTTCCAACCTGCGCGTCGCAGTTATGGACTCTGGTGAACTGCGGTATACGGTATACATACTGATACGCTACGGCTACGACGTGATCGTAGAAGCCGCGAAAATATGGCCGCGGCAATATAAAAGAGTGGTTAGTTGTGTTGAGTGTCGAGTACAATAACTATGCGTAATGATTGTGATTATTTTTATTGGCATACGATGATAAGATCAACGTATCATCGGGAAAGATGAGTGAAAGAAAGTTTACTCGTGGCCTAGGTAAGCCGGGTATGGCCGCTCAATTACGAGAAACTGTCTCTCAGGTAGTACGCGAGAGCACTGTACAGGTAGGCCTACCGACATCCTTCGTTCTCGATACATTTCTGTCGCTTTATTATATTTCAATTTCTTATACGACAGCTTTTTTACAGTTAATAACAGTGTAAATATGATTTCCTTGGAATTATTTATCAGAGTAGTTTTAATATCATTAATTCATTATTCATGATAATTACTGATAACTAAATTTTTCAACGTACTAAACTATTAGTTTTGTTTTAGTTTATCTTATAACAAGCTTAAACGTGAAATTCTATTTACAAGGATAACGTTATTCTTATTGAAACATATCCATTTATGGTATCTTAAAAAACACTTTTGTATGTATAGATATTATTCGTTAATTATTTCTTTAAACTAAGAATAAATTGTATTCGTTTTAATAATACAATTATAAGAATTGACATTTAAGTTTTAATTAAGCATACATCTTATGTATTCTCAGGTTTGTTAATAATGTAAATTAATATACATTTTTTTTTTATTTATTTATTTATTTTTTTCAGAATAAGCCACATTTAGTAGAGCCAATAGATTTTGAAAGTTTTGTATTAAAAAACAAAACTTTATTACAAAATGATCCACAGAGAGAGCTTCTTCTTTATCCTCAGGATGATGTTTCAGTGAGTTTAAATTTAATACTTCTTATCTATTTAGCAAACCTTACATCCTGTATGAATAGATAAATAACTGAGTTCATATATGTATAGGAAGCTAAGAGAATTGGAATTCATAAAATTTTTCAATTTATTTAAAAAAAATATACATAAATATAATGTTTAATATATTATTGTTATTTATATGAGATTATAATGAATTTAATCTTAATTATTTATGTAGCTGTTTTAAAAAATAATATTTTAATATGTCTTTTTATAATTAGCAAGTGGTATTACCTAGAAGATATCGTACCCTTGTACCAACAGTATCACAAACTTCAGACAATGAGGAAGGAGAAGAAAACCTACTTACAAAAGAATGTTTACAAAGTTACACATCTAATTGGAACCTTATACATTATAAATATTCTGCCTATAGTGGAAGTTATCTTGAATTGCCCAAGTATGTGTTTATTTCTATAATAACAAGGGTATTTTAATCTTGGAGTATTTTTTCATTTTTAGAATAGCAAAGGCAGATGATCTAAAAGAGGAAGTATATGAAATAGATACAGAAGTAGACCAAGTTGACGAGGTAAATAGTTGATGAGGTTTCAATGTAAATTTTATGGTAACATTTTATTGCAGCATTGTTTATCAGATTGCATTTGTTAAAATTGCAATTAAAATTTGTTACTATACAACTTATTTGTATTAATCCTCTAATATTATTAAAATATTAGCAAACTAAATGAATACAGAGGGGATGTTTAATTTTATTAGGAACTAACAAAGAGTAATGGGATAACAAAAGAAGGTTATTTGATGAAAGGACCAGAAATTGGTAGTAGTGACCGTATGTTTGCAAATATCGGTTCGAAATCATTCAAAAGAAGATTTTGTCATCTCAGACAAGAAGTTGATGGCACATATATTCTTGAGCTTTTTAAAGATGAAAAAAAGGGAGAAGCTAAATTAACGATAGTAATGGACTTTTGCACCGAGGTTGTCAGAAATCCAAAACGTGGAAGATACTGTTTTGAATTAAGAATGAGCGGGACTCATAAATCGTATACTTTAGCAGCGGATAATGAAACAGATATGCAGGATTGGTTATTAAAGTTAAGCTCGGTATTACAGCATTATAAACAGCAAGAAGAAAAGCGTGCTGCTTCGTTAGAAAGGGCGTGTAATACACCTCCTCCCTCTCCGCAACCGATGCAGGTATTAAAAATAAGACTAAAAGACATTCACGGAGACTACACATATTTAATGAGCTATTTATACAATATGTATATAATTCACTTAAAAATTTCTATTATTATTCCTATCCATAGGTTTATGGAACGTTGAAAGGATTGGAACAAAGTATGAATCCACAGTTAATAAAGTATTCCAGAGAAACTGATACCAGTATAGCATTGGCGAGACGTGAAAATCGTAAACGATTGTTTAATATTTACCCTAATATTCCGCACAGCAAGCAACAATCCGGCAATTCTAGTGAACACAACATTGATCCATATAAAGAACAATTTGGACAAAGAATTTTTGTTAAGTGTGAAAGTCTTAAATTTAGATTGCAAGCGCCAATAGATGAGAAAGAGTCATTGTGTCAGGTAGAACCGTATCAGACAACATTGAGTCTTTATGATGCAAGACATGGTAGAAAACTTACTGAAAATTTCCACTTTGATATTAATCACGAAGTTGTTCAAGGAATGGCAAAAGAATTAAGTCCTATAGGTATTATGACAGAATCTACAGAGGATATAAAATTACCAAACGATTTGAAAAGTATACCATTAGACTGGATTAAATACCCAAAACAGGCTATATTCAGTATTAGTAATCCTCATCCTGACATATTCTTGGTTGTAAGAATAGATAAAATATTGCAAGGGAACATATGTCAAACTTCTGAACCATATTTAAGAGCTACAAAAGATCCACGTTTAGGTTTAAAGGTACATAAACAAGTTAGAGCATGCTGCCAAAGGTAAATGTACATTTAATTGTACTTGAAAAATATAGTTTTCTATATGTCCATATGTATGTATAAAATCTTACTTAATTTGAAATGTTTTAGATTGGGAAACTATAGAATGCCCTTTGCTTGGGCTGCTAGACCATTATTCAGATTATATAGTAATGAACTGGATGTTTCATCAGATTTTCCAGCAATTTATAGACAAGAAGGGAATAAAATAAAAGATGATGAATTATTAAAACTTCTTTCGGAATACAGAAAGTTCGTATTAACAGGAATATATGTATTAAGTTATATGTGAATATCTTTTTAATACCTTTCATTGCAGGCCTGAGAAACTTAGTAAATTAACTGTGATACCTGGTTGGTTAAAAATAAAAATTGAGTCAATTACAGAATTACCTGATAGTATGTGTACCTGGCATATAATTATAGCATGTACTTACATATCAAATAATAAAACGATTGATTTAATTTGTTTTTCATATCTTTTTTCTTTTTCTTTTTTTTTTCTTTTTTTCTAGATACGTTATCTACGTCCTTAGCAGCATTGAAACCATTTCCATTACCACCAACATCTGAACCAACTCTTGAAATTGCAGAGTTTGAAAGTACTTCAGAGAAAGATGTTCACCCATACACCACGTATATTAATCATCTTTACGTGTATCCGCAAACTCTTTGCTTTGATGCTCAAAAAATATTCACCAGAGCTAGAAATATCGCATGTATCGTTGAGCTAAGAGATGATGATAGTGAAAATGCTGCACCTTTAAGAGTATGTATGATGTACGCTTAAATAACATAATTAAATTGTTCCAGAAATGATAAAAATCTTAATGTTTTCTATATATCTTTATAACAGTGTATATACGGAAGACCTGGTTCTCCACTTTTATGTTTACGAGCATCCTGTGCAGTTTTACATCACAACGCTGTTCCTTCGTGGTACGAAGAGATTAAAATACGATTACCGACAAAACTTCACTCCAAGCATCATTTACTTTTTTCTTTCTACCATATAAGTTGTGATATGAATAAGAAAAAAGAAAATGGAGTTGAAAGTTGTGTTGGTTATGCTTGGTCTCCCTTGTTACACAAAGGAAGGTACGACGTTTTGAATGATAATAATAAAAAATATCTATTACATAATTAAAATACCTGTTACAGATTAAATGTGGATATGGATATGAATGTACAGATATTACCAGTGGCAACGCATTTACCTCCTGGATATTTGTCGATACAACCTCTTGGGCTAGGAAAAGGGGTAAAATTGAAATTAAATTTAAATAATTGAAATTTGATATAGTTCAGAAATTAATTTTGTAATTTTTCAGAATGCAGGACCGGAAATCGTATGGATTGATTCCCAGCGGCCAGTATTTACAGTAGCATTTCAGTTAATTTCAACTGTATTTACCCGTGATGTACATTTACATAATTTATTTGCTCATATGGAACGGATTTTGGATATGAAAATTGGAGCAGTACCAGCAGATTCAGAAACATGTAAAATTTTGAAAGCTGCCCATGCAGTACAACTAGTTACTATCATTACATTTCTTCCTACCATACTGAATCAATTATTTGCATTGTTAACTTATACCACTAACGAAGAAGTTGGATTATATATTATAAGAGTTTTGATACATTTCATAAATATGG